TCCAGTTCTGGAAAACAGATGTTTGGAACCAAGGTGTCAGTAGGGACATATTCCTTCTTGAATATGTGTGCTATATTTAATACCACCTCTAGCTCATCTACTCATCTGTTAATGGACTTAGTTATTTCCACAGTTTAGTGTGAGCAAATGCTTCCAGGAATGTGGCTGTACAGATAGCTCTCTTGATTTTTTTTTTAAATACAAAGTCTACTTTTGGATAGACTAGAACTGGTAATTGTAGGATTTTGTTTTTGTTTTTGTTTTTTAACACTCATCACACTGTTTTCTGTAGGGACTGTAATATTCTACACTAATGTAATGGACACAGTTTTAATTTTTTCACATTCTGGGAAGACTTTTATTTTTGTTAATTCATCTATTTTATTTTTGAGACAGAGTCTCACTATGCAGCCCTCACTCTCTCGGAACACACTATGTAGACCAGGTTGCCCTGAAAGGCAGAGATTTGCTCATGACTTTCTCCAGAGTGCTAGGATTAAAAACCTGTGTCACCTGAGGTATTGATTTGCGTTTCCTTAATGACTGGTGATGTTAAGTACTTTCTCGTGTGCTTTTGGCCATTTGTAAACACACAGACATGTTAAGTCTTTATTCCCATTTTCAAGATTAGATTGCTTTTGTTGAGTTTTAAATACACCCTTACACATTCTAGATGTGAATTTTTCTCAGGTACCTGGTTTTCAAGTTTTTCCCTGTTCTGAGGGCTACATGAGGTGATTGGCAGTGTCTTTTGGTGTTCTCTTTTCCACCCAAAGTGACAGCACGTTTTTTATGATGATTTATTGAAATTAAGGCAAACACAGAGTAAGAAAAATGTATGTGGGAGTTAGGCTGTAGTATGTATGCCTGGTTTCTGTTGACCACCAGCGGGAGCTGGGCTCTGTGGAGAGTTGTTTGCAGACAAGACAGGTAGCCTCAGCTTTCTCCTGAGACACAACAGCAAGGTCAGCCTTGGGAGCCAGCACTAGGAGGTGCTGACAGTTGGAGGCTATTCTGGGATCCAGAAGACTTTGTTTTGTAAGGCCCTGTGCTCCCAGATTAACTCTGGCTTTGGTTAACCCCCAGCCACTCTAGCCTGGGATACAGAGAGCAATGTTAGCTACAGTAGAAAGATCACAGTATCCATATTATTGATAAAAGAAGTATTTTCCCTTGCAAAGAGCTTGTCTCTACTACATGCTAATTGTGAAAACCTGTATTTACCAAGCAGTTTTTGGAATCATTAGTTCTTTTGGACCAAGAATTAATACATACCTCTACTTCAGAGCTTAAAACAAATCTTTACTCTAGTAACATTCTAGTGTGTCTTTAGGAATACAAGCTAAGAGGAAACACACTTAAACCATAGTGGAAGATTTTTGAGTTAAAGGCAAAGAAGTTCCCCCGTTGTTGTTGAAGTTAACACCCAAAGATTAACTTCCTTCCCAAGGAAAGGAATGAGTTCTTGTCTGGAGAACTGAGTATAGCTCTAGGCAGAGGCATGGGCCGAGTTTTGCAGATGGGTGAATCTGCTCATGGACCATGCTGCATGAGTCAGCAGCGCATCTGCAGATGGAGTGGGCAGAGGACATCTAAATTTAGTCCTTATTCACTGGAGAAGATTTCAGGGAGCATCCTGCCTCTCTCTCATCCATGCTCTAGTCATATCCCCCTGGAACCAAGGAAAGTGGGTGGAGGAAGGCAGGGCAGTCAGAGGTCTCAGACAGCAGAGTCCTGTGGCTCTGTTACCTTGTACCACTAACTAGAATGCTTCTTTCCAGGTCAGTCATGGAACATACTATTTTGTTTCATGTAACTCCTGGATTTAGGAATCCACAGTACTCTAAAAATTAGGGAATTTTCTAAACTTAGAAATCCAAATTCCTAAATATGGCTAGTCCAGAGACATTTTGTATCAAATTGCTTTCCTCCCATAAGTACTGACGAGGACCGTGGTGAGTGAGGATTAAATACATTTGGTGTATGTGGCTGTTAAAAATATTGGCTTAAAAACAATGCCAGGAACTGTTCCCAACTCCCTGAGGTGGGCAGATTCCCAGTACTGTGGATGAGTACACTGATACTTTGGTTAGGGACCCTTGTTCAAGGCTATGTCCATTGGCAGAATCCTGCAGTCTGTCTGACTGCAAAAACTGCTGCTTTAACAATTTGTCCTTCACTTTGTAGAGGTAATGGAGAATGGTTTGCAGAGTTGGAGTACTTTATTTTATCCGAAGTAATTCAGAGATTCTTGTTCTGCCTAATCTCCACCCCGCCTCTCAGTATCTGCACTCAAATGGTTGTAGCATTTTTATTGAGGTATAAGAGGAAAATTGAGTATCTATATCACATAGATAGAGACTTGGGAACACAAAGGGTATTTTAATAGACCATTCAGTAAGTTATGGGAGTTGTTCTTAGATGGTATATAAAAACTCCAGTAGTGGTAATTTTTGTTTTTTACTTTTTTTAATGGTGGTTCTCATGTTACCTTAAGTTAGCCTTGAACTTGCTTCGCAGTAAAAGATGATGAACTCCTAATCCTCCTGCTTCTACCTCCCACATGCTGGGATTACAGATGTGCACCACTGCATGGTTTATGAGATGCTGGGGATTGATCCCAGGGCTTTGTGCATGCTAGGCAAACACTCTACCAACTGAACTACATCTCCAACCTTGATGGTTTGTTAAATGTTAATTGGAAATATAGGCTGAAATTATGTCAATGCACGGTCTTACTCTGTCACATTAAAACCCATTAATCACCTGGGTGTGGTGGCACATGCCTTTAAACCCAGCACTTGGGATCCCACAGAGGCATCTCTGAGTTCAAGGCCTGCCAGGGCTACATAGTGAGGTCCTGTCTACAAAACAAAACAACAGCAAAATGCATTAATATAACATGTTCTTTGAATTAATCTTTTACTGATGCCTGATTTCCTAACACTATGTATTTAATATTTGAAAAACACAGGTTCATTGATTTATGTAAATCTTCCATATATAGACACACTTCTTATATAATACCCACTGATCGTACTTGCAGATCATCCCAGTGTAAGTATCAGAACAGTATCAGGAAACTGTTAAGCTCTTGACAGTTTGCTTCCCAAAATTTCATTTTTTTATTTGCATGGTCAAATTTTATCATAACAACAAAAAATCATTGTTTTCTTTGAGACTTATTTTGTTCATTTTGGTGTCTGAATAACAAATACTTTTTCGTCAGTTACTGTTTTCAATACAAATAGTATTCTGTGAAAAAGTGGCTAGTTCATGTTGCAACCCTGCACAAGTCCTTTTCCTAGAAACAACCATCATAATTCAGAAGCCACACTAGGGCTTCAAGTATGCTTTCCATTTTGTCACACAGAAAATTAAAAAGACTTATCTTCAAATACTTAGTTTTAATTGTTAATAATATTTTTAAATGATTTATTTGTTTTTATTTTGTATGTATGGGTGTTTTGCCTGTATGCATGTCTGTGCACCATAAGCATGTGGTGCCAGAAGAGGACATTAGATTCACCAGAACTGGAATTACAGATGGTTATTAGCTGCCTTGTGGGAGCTGGGAATCAAACCTGGGTCCTCTAGAAGAGCAACCAGTGCTCTTAACCATTCATTCATCTTTCCAGCCCCTAAATGAACAATCTTCATTGCTTCATGCAGGTCATTTTTAGGGGAGTGGTCTCTTGATGCAGTTGTTTTGATGCTAAGGCACCAGCAGTTTTACCCACCATTGCTTTGACATCATTAGCACAAATGTCAACACAATGAAAAGACACCAATTTCCTAATATTATTGAGAAGACAATTTTTATTTAGCTAATGAATTGTTTCTCAGCCAATATTTTACTATTTATTTATTTGAAATATGAAAGGAGGGATTCACAGGCAGGTTTATTTATTTATTTTTTTGAAAGTGTCTCCTTATAATGTCTCATCATATAGCCCAGGTGGCTAGGAACTTGTGACAATGCTCCTGCCACAGTCTCCTGAGTGCTAAGATTCAGACATTTTGCCACCATACTAGACCATAGGCAAGTTTTTAAAAGGTAGTCTCATTTTTTTCTAGGTCCTGAATTTTCCTACTTTGGAACTGTCTGAGCCTGAATAGTTAATTATCCATGTCAACGATTTCCTTTTTATTCTGTGTTAAAGTAGGCTTTTTTTTCTTTTCTGTTTTCCCCTCCTCCTACCTCTTCTGTGAGTGTGTGAGTGTGTGTGTGTGTGTGTGTGTGTGTGTATTTTTAATTTTCAATTTATTTTTGAAGTAGGGTATCACTGTGTAACCCAGGCTGACTTCAGCCTTGAGCTCTTGCTTCCTTAGACCCCCAAATGCTAGGGTTACAGGAATGTCCCACCATGCCTGGCTCAACCAGATTTTATTGTGATTATTTCTTTTAGGCTTAGTAAAGATTTAAAAGCCTTTACTAAAAAAGCTTCTGTGTTTCCCCCTATTTGCTGGTGTGAAGGCAGAGAACAATATCTGTCTGCAACTACAAATATACTTTCCCATATCATTTGAAGCCATTTAGAAAACCATGTAAGCCAGGCGGTGGTGGCGCACGCCTTTAATCCCAGCACTCGGGAGGCAGAGGCTGGCAGATCTCTTTGAGTTCGAGGCCAGCCTGGGCTACAGAGTGAGTTCCAGGAAAGGCACAAAGCTACACAGAGAAATCCTATCTCGAAAAAAAAAAGAAAACCATGTAAAACATTTCTAACACACTTTCCTTTTTATAACAAAATGCTACAGTAGCTTCCATTTACAGCACTATAGAAATCACTTCATAGTTAATCCCATTAATACTTGTGGTACTGTAAATAATATCTAATAGTGTTTCTAAGTTTGGAAGTCATTCTTTAGACACTCACTAGGAAAAGTAAATAAATAATGCATCGTAGCTGCTGGCCAGTGTCATTGTCCAGAGCAGTGTCTGGTATGTAATAGAACTCAGTACATACTTGCTGAATGAATCAATGGGCTTTTCTTTTCAGGCCTGTATTGATGAAAATTTGGACATGGTGAAGTTTCTAGTGGAGAACAGAGCCAATGTAAACCATCAAGACAACGAGGGCTGGACTCCCCTTCATGCAGCAGCTTCCTGTGGTTACCTCAACATAGCGGAGTGAGTGAGCGTCTTTCGTGGGTTTGGTGCAAACTCCTCCTCTGCTGACCAGAAATTGAGTTGTACAAGTAGTTATAACCTCTCTAAATCGCAAACACAGAAAATTGACTTTAAGAGCTGGCTGACACAGCGTTTTGCATCCTTACTAAATGCACAGTTCTTACCTCAATTTGGTTTGCTTCTGTTTTTGTGTATTTCCTATTTGCTAGACTATTCAGAGGCGGCATCAGCCTGGTGAGCTGTCTGACTAATGTCTGAATAGCAGAACACAAACATGTGAGTTGTAGGGTTTTTCCTTTGGACTTCTCTATAAACCTGTTTTGTTTGTTTGTTTTTATAAATATTACTGCAGTCAATAGCAAATTATGAACCAGAACACATAGGACCCAGGTAAGGTAGTGATTGATATGTGTTCTCGACATTGGTTGAATGGCTACGTTTAATATGTTAGTAACTGCTCACCTCCGTGGGGGCAGATTGCCCTCTCTAGGGTAGAAGAATCCTGATCACATGATACCTACTATATGAGAAGAACAAAATAAGTCTCTGTATATGAAAGAATGATCAGGAATTTTATTTCTAGTTAGGAAAGAAACTTTGGCAGTTCAAACATCTTTAAAATTTGCAGGGCAAATTTAGATTGATAAAGTAAATCTAATCAGGATAGTCTATGGTCTTTTGAAAATCAGATTGATTAAGTCCTTTTCAATGATATGATTGAGGCTAGCACATTTTTTTCTTATTCAGCAAACAGCAGGCCGTGATGTAGAACTGCACTTGCACAGGTTTCCTGGAGCAAAACTGAGAGTTTCCTTGAGGCACGGATTCTCAGTTGGACAAGAATCAGAGTAGAGACACACGAGGTGTCGGACAGGGCTGTTGTTTAGGTGTAGATAACTGGATTGGTCCAAAGCCAAGACCACTGGATAGCAGAGTTTTCTTTGTTCTCCATTCCTCTCCCTGTTCTAGGTTAATAAAGATCTTTAACTCCTTCGCCACCTAGGCTGCCTCCATTTCAGGCTCATAGAAAAGGCTCTGATTTTCAGTTGTACTCACTAATGTCAGTGTTCTGATGCATAGGAGTTAAGATGATTTCTTCCTCCATTTTGGACTTACAACATTTATTTAAGAAATATAAGGCATATCGGCTTCTCATTATTCCTACTTGAGTATGAGTTCAGGTGGAATGTTTGTGACTGAGCTATAAAATCTCGTTACATTCAAGAATTTAATTTTTTACCCTTTTTTTTTTCTAAATTATCTAAGGCCAGCTGAGTCTTAAATTAGAGTAATAGGTGCTGTTATCTTTCTGGGAAGCTGAATACAGAGAATTACTGTAATGCCTTTTGTGGTTTCTTTAATTCATTTTTAATGACAAACATAGTTCCTTCAGAAATAAATTTAAAATTAGAAATCCTCTACTCAACCAAATATTACCTTGGATGTAGTAAGTTTATCAGCGACCATAACAACTTATGAATATGAATGTCTAACCATAGTGAGCTGATCCAGACTGGAATCTACTGCTGATGTGGGCTAAAGGTAGAGATGGCATGCCTTAGTTTACCTTGTAATGTACACATTGTCATTAGATATGTTATTTTATTTTATTATTTTATTTTATGTGTATTGGTGTTTTTGCCATGGGTGTCAGGTCCCCTGAAACTGGAACTATAGACAGGTGTGAGCTACCATGTGGGTGCTGGGAATTGAACCTGGGTCTTCTGGAAGAGAAGTCAGTGCTCTTAACCCCTGAGCCATCTCTCCAGATAAGTTTTTATTTTACTTTCTTTATTTGTAATATTTTTATACAACAGATCATAGAAATAACTTATTTAATTGGGGATTGGAACAGAGTGATGGCTCAGCATTAAGAGTACTGGCTGCTCTTCTAGTACTGGGTTGGATCTGCAGCATTTACATGGTCACCTACAACCCTCGGTTAACTATAATCCCAGGGGATCTTTCCCCTCTTCTGGTCTCCAAGGGCTGTGCACAGATGTGGTGCACAGACATTCACTGGGACAAAACACCCATATACACAAAATAATAAAAGTACTTTAAAAAATTAGAGACAGTGTATCACCGTGTAGCTCTGGCTTACCATGGGCTCCATTAAGCCCAGGCAGCCCTTGAACTTCAATCCTTCTGCCTCAATAGCCCAAGTGCTGAGGTTACACATGTGTGCCAACTCCACACTGACATCTGTTTGTGTTTTGAAGAACTTACACCTCAAACTTATTTCTAGGATAATTGGCAGCACTGGCCTTCAAGGAAATGGGAATGAAAGACAGAGAAACTGGCTTTCTTCAGGAGAAACCCATGGCCATTCTATTTCATGTTCCATGACGATCCTTTCTGCCATGCATATTTCTCTCTCTCTCTCTCTCTCTCTCTCTCTCTCTCTCTCTCTCTCTCTCTCTCTCTCTCTCTGTGTGTGTGTGTAGAGTATATTTTTTCCTCATTTTGAATTCAAGTAGAATAGCTGGATTATTCCTAATGGTGTTTAATTTAGAAGCAGCAGATTGACCCCAACATTTAGCATGACGTACAGTTTATTGCAATGCTGATGTATTTTGAGCTTTTGAAAGACCACATTTTATTTCTGTACTTTTTTCCTGTGAAGACTAGCAAAGGGAGCCAGTGAAATGGCTCAACAAGGAAAGGCACTTGCCGCCCAGTCTGAGCACCAGGTTTGATCCTTGAAACTCACGTGGTGAAATGAAAGAACTGATTCATGCAAGTTGTCATTTGACCTTCTTGTATGTTTCATGGAATGCTCCTGTGCACATACACAGATAAATAAGTAAATGAATAAATACATTAATAAATAAATGTTAGGGAATAATGGAAAAATACCCTTTATCAGTGCTGAGCTAGGCTTTCAGGGGGCATATGGGGAGCTAATAGCAATTCCGAGGCTCTAGACAGTTAGCAGGCTCCTTCTGTTTCCTGCTGCTTACTAGTTCATACACTGATGTTTACGCTTGTTCAGTACAAGTGCAGTGCTAAAGGTTTTTATTTTTCTCCTATGAACTGGGGAAATGTGGAAAAATGGAAAGCTGTATTCCTTGGTAGAAACCAGTTTTCTTGATCATTAGCCTAAGAACAGATCAGAAAAGGGAGAAGCTGCAGCCTGTGTAACCTGTGTAACCTGACCCAGGAAAGGATGGATACATGGTAGAATGGAGACCAAGATATTTCATTTAGTTTAAGCAACGTTTATAGAATACCTAGAAGAGAGAAAGCATCAAGATACAATGTCTGCTATGGAAGAGGTGCAGCTAATGTTTACAGGGCCAGGAAGGTAGCATCAAAGGAAGGAGAGAGAGAATTCAGTTGGTGGGAACAGGCAAGGTTCTTGAAGGCAAAAGAGTTTGAAATGGACCCTGAAAAATGTGAAAGGTATCTACATGGGAAAGGAGGGAGTTTGTTCCATTCACTTTTAGTAAATAATTCACCCTAAGGAACGGAGCTGGGTGTGAAGGGGCTAGGAGTTGGGGGTTGGGGGAACTAGTAAATGATTGGGTTTGATTAGAGTATATATATTTCAGTTTAACCGATATTTATTGTGTGCTTATTGTGTATATTATTTGTATTTCAGGGTACAGGAGGTATAGTTGGATGCTCATTTGGCTTGAGGGGAAGAAACTAGAAAAGAAAAAAAAACTATTGACTAATGAAGGAATAATTGGATACAATGGTGGCACTTGGTAGATCTGAAAATATGGATAGAGGGAATTTACTTTAGTGTTGAGTAGGATATCTTTCTCTGATTCTGAGGGAAAAAATTCCATTGAACTGTGTCTTAGGCAGTGTTCTATTGCTATGAAGACACACCATGACCACAGCAACCCTTATACAGGAAAGCATTTAATTGGGACTGGCTGGCATACAGTTCAGAGGTTTAGTCTATTGTCGTCATGGCGGGAAGCATGGAGGCACATAGGCAGACATGGAGAAGGAGCTGAGAGTTCTATATCTGGCTCTGCAGGCAGCAGGAAGAGAGAGTGAGAGACTCTAGGCTTGGCATGGACTTTTGAAATCTTAAAGCCCACTGCCAGTGGCACACTTCCTCCAACAAGGGCATGCATGCCTCCTAATCCTTTCAACTGTGCCACTCCCTGGTGACCAAGTATTCAATTGTGAACGTAAGGGGCCATTCTTTTTCAAACCACCACAAGCGGTATATATGTGGAGTTGATACATCAACATTTATTGAGGCCCTATTATTCCAGGATACTAGGCACTAAGAAAGCAAAGTTATGTTTTTAATTTCATTTTTATTGATTTTTTTCCTTCTTTGCCTACTCTCAAATACACGGCCCATACATATATTGATTAAAAAAAAGTCTAACACACTAAAAATGTGGTTCTTTGAATATCATCATAGTAGATCAATAAATGTTGATTTAATTGTTGTTTATTGAATCGCTGAATAAATTGGAAGATAATTTACATAGTTTTTCTTTACCTTTTTTAGTACCTCTGAGTGTCTGATAGTAGTCCTAGAATTATTGTGATTATTTATTTATTTATTTAATTTTTAGTTTTGGTTTTTTCAAGACTGGGTTTCTCTGTGTTGCACTGGCTGTCCTGGGACTCACTCTATAGACCAGGCTGGCCTCGAACTCACAGAGATCTGCCTGCCTCTGCCTCCCAGGTACTGAGATTAAAGGCATGTACCACCACTGCCTGGCGTATTGTTGGGATTCTAATTGGCCTAAAACTAATTTGATCTAAACTTACATGCAAAAGACTGAGCCTAATAGCTTCTTCTAGTACTGGTTATGTGTTTTTGAGAAAAATCACTTTTTTTCTTACTTAAATTTTTTTTCTTGAGAAAATTACTTAACATGTTTGAACTTCGATTCTTTAACAACATTGGGTTTTTTTTGCATGCAATTTGTGTGTATGTGTGTGCAATAGTTTCCATATTGTCAGAAGGCCACTTGTAGGAGTCCGTTCTCCCCTTCCACTGTTCAGGGATTGAACCCAGATGGTTGGGCATGTCAGCAAGAACATGCCCTCTTCCCCACAATTGGTGTTAGGAACCTCAGTTTCTTAAATTAAAGGGTAAGAGTATTCAGTTGCATTTACATTGCCTTCATCATAATTTTGTTTAGATTGATGTGTGTGTGTGTGTGTGTGTGTGTGTGTATGTGTGTGTGTGTGTGTGTGTGTGTGTGTGTGTGTGTGTGTGTGTGTGTGTAAGAGAGAGAACACTGAAAATTAAAAGATGCAGATAAGGTATTGAAATTATCAGCCCTTTTTTCTTCAGGATACATATTCTGTATGGATGCAGAATCTGCTTAGCATTTTAAATGTTTCTTAAGTAAGTTAGTTTTCTTTATGAATACAGATTCCTATAGATGACTTGTTTTGTGGAAGTTAAATTTATGCAAATTCTAATACATACTTTAGTCTTCAGTTTTCACACCTACAGCACTACTAAGCAAATTTCACCTTAGCACCGCAAACAAATTTTCATGAGGACTGCTTATTTACTTTTAGCTTTGAAATGTTCTTATTTCTAATGCTAGAAGTGTAGGAAGTCTTTTTGAATGTTTATTTGGATCCTAGGTTGCATGAGTGAGGGCTGCATGCCTTCCCTATTTCACCGCACCAAGTCGAGGTCTTCCTTTGTAGTTTAGACTTGTCTTGAACTCAGCTTATAGGCTAGGCTGACCTCTACCTTCAGCTCCTCCTGCCTCAACATCCTGAGTGCTAGGATACAGGCTTGGCCAGAGACCCTATCCCATGCTGCTCCTTATAGTATTTAGAAAGACCTAGTATTTCTAGAAGTGAAAGAATTGGTGTTAGGAATATGCATATGTAAGAAATCTTTTTTGACTTGGTTTTGTAAGAAAAATAAGTATATAAATAAATATTAGTATGTAAGAAAACATTGCTCTTGTTGGCAAATGGCGAAACCTATGGTCCTAATTATTGAAGACTACTAGGGTATGAAATTAATAATAAATGAATAAGAAACCACCTCATCTGTACCGTATTTAAAACTCCCAAATATGCCTTGCTGTACATTGAACTCAAGACACAGTACAAATTGATTTCAGATTGACAAAAATAATATTGATTTTTGCCACACAGGTATTTTATTAGCCATGGAGCCAGTGTGGGTATTGTGAACAGCGAGGGTGAAGTTCCTTCTGACCTTGCAGAAGAGCCAGCCATGAAAGACCTTCTTCTGGAACAAGTAAAGAAGCAAGGTAACCTAGGAGAGCAGCTGGTTAGCAAGGCTCTCACGCTGCCCCTTATCATGTGACAGGGCAGGATTAAATCTGTCCACACAGCATTCGTCATCAGACCTCTTAATAACTCATACAAGCCCAGGCCAAATGCCCAAATGATGACCAGGCCTTCCTTGTCTTTGCTATTATAAGATTGTGTACTGATCTTGGAGTTAGGAGTGACCAGAGGAAGATTGTGTACTGTTCTTTTTGTGTGTGTACATTGTATCACTTCTGCTGCACAGGACAGGCTGAAGAAGGGCTGGACTCTAGTGTGGCCAAATGCATTTTGTGACTGTGTCTTTTTCCTTTGAGAGCTGCAAGTGGTACTGGGAGGCCATTCACTAAACCTCTGAAAGGGTCTTCAGCTGTAGTAACCATGGAAACTATTCTGATAGTTTCTTTTGTTTTTATGTTTGTGTTTTTGAGAGACAGGGTCTCACTTCATAGCCACACATACCCTAGAGCTCACTCTGTATCCTGGACTGTCCTCAGACTTTCAGCAGACCTCTTGCCTCTGCCTCCCTATGTTGGGATTACAGGTGTGAGCCACCATGCCTGGTTCTCATAGTTTCTCAAGGTAAGGAACCTAACTTAGAAGAATATATTCTGAAATTGTTTATTCCTATTTTGTAGTTTTAGAAGAAACTCATTTCTGGGAATAAGGTGGGGCTCTCCTGTTGGACACCTCAAAGTCATTTTGTTTTTATACACAGTATTGTCCAGGCTGTCCATGGACAGATGCCTCAAATCTCCTTTCTCCCTACCAGTATTACAGGCAAGCACCACCACACCTAGCTTTTTTTGAATTTTCTCAATTTAAAGTTATTGACTAACCATGGACAGCAGGTTTTAGGATTCTGTTAAAACTATCATGAAACTCTGGATGGGATATGTAGCAACTGGAGATAGGGGAAGCTCTTCTGAATAACCAGAAATTCTTTCCAAAGCTTTAGTCTTTCTGTGCTATGGTCCTTTAGAACAGTTGGGGCCGAGTCTGGCCACACTTGCATGTTTATTATCCAAAGCTGCTTTTATGCTGCATCAGCAGAGTTGAGTATTAATGGCAAACTGTAGGACTGGCAAATCTGCAGGGAAACATGAAGTATCTCACCTTCTAGAGAAGGTACACTAAGCCTGCCTTGAGTGATGGATAGTCTAGGTTATGCTATTACTAAGGTCCACCTGTGGTTTTGTGCCTTACCAAATTAAAATTTTTTATACTAAGTTTATCCTCTCATCCCACTCATTTCATCTCCTAAAGTGTGTTTTTTAAAAGGATTTATTTATTTTATGTGTATGGATATTTTGTCTGCATGTACATCTGCACATCAGAAGAGGGTATTAGATGCCATAGGACTACAGTTGTAGGTGGTGGTGAGCCACCATGTGGGTGCTGATAATTGAACTCAGGACTTCAGGAAGAACAGCCAGTGCTCTTAACCACTGAGCCATCTCTCCAGCCCCCATTCATCTCCTAAAATGTTTTACAGTTTACAAATTTAAATTAGGTTTTGGTTTGAGAATCCACTCTGTTGACTTTGATTGCTGAGTCTTCCCTTCTGCTCTGTGGAAACAGCATTTGTCTGTATGCTTCACTGTGTCTAAATAGGCTTCCTCTTCACCCTGTGCATCTCCCCAGACAGACAGTTCTCTAACAGTTCATGGCTTCTTATTTAAGAACCAAAAAGAAGACTAAAAGCTCAGATAAAGTATACTTGAGTGTGGAACCTTTTGAATGGGTGTGTTTGTATTCGGAACATTTCATTATTTTGTATAATGAAGAATGTCCTTTCTTAAGGCCCTTCTTTACTGGCCTAGATATTGGAGAGTTGTTGGATAAAGGGAAGAACTCTTCGGAGTACCTCCATATGATTGTAAGGGAAACAAAATCTACATTGCCTTAAAAGCAGACTCTAAGTGTTGGCTTCAGATCACCTACTAATCTCTGGTTGCATTATGTAGCTTCAAGTAAGTGTATGCAAATGCATATGGAGATGAGCTTTAGGAGGAGTGCACTTTTCCACAGTATATCCTACCTGAAATGAAGACTTTTGATATTAATCTTGTGGTGTAGTGCATGGAAAGAGCCAAGAGCATCAAGGAGTTCTAATAGCAGCCCTGCCACTGATGTGTGTGTGACCGTACGCAAAGCACCCAGCCTTTCTGTGTTTTATTTCTTCATATGGCAAGTGAGGCTAGTCGTAGCTATTGTTGTTACCCCACAGGATTGTTAGGAAACCAAGATCATATAACATGTTAAAGTACTTTGGCATTTATAGCTTCATACAAATACTGTAAAGTAAAAGCAATGTCCCACCCGGTTTTACATTCTGTTGAAAACAATGTTAGGTATGTTCCCTTCATGAATGTGTACCACACAGTGGTTAGCCTGGCTATTTAGCATTGCTAATTTTGTAATACAAATGCCATTGCTTTAAATTTAATGAGTTACCAGCTTGGTGAGGAAACTGTTATTTGTGGTAATGTCTGTATGTTTTGACTCAAAAGGAAATACCTGTCAGACATGGGTGGCTTTAGTAACGCCGCTGTCTGGTGTCTGGCTTCTGTAGGCGTTGACCTGGAGCAGTCAAGAAAGGAGGAAGAGCAGCAGATGCTGCAGGACGCCCGCCAGTGGCTCAACAGTGGGAAAATAGAAGACGTGAGGCAGGCTCGCTCCGGGGCCACAGCCCTGCATGTCGCTGCTGCCAAGGGCTACTCTGAAGTCCTCAGGTGTGTAGCGGGGGGCTGGGAGAAGAGAGACCAATCTTAGAAGCAGAAGTTCTTACCTTTTTAACTACGGTGCATTTTCTTGTTGACTTTCTCTTTCCTTGCAAATTGTCCTCGTATTTTGCTGGTGTTCCTTCGTGGGTGGTCCCTCTTCCTCTTAGGGTCCCTATTCCTCAGGTACATGATGTTAGACACACTTGAGGCACAGTGGCACTGGAAGACCTCTCTCAGGTCTGTGATGTGTCATCGGCTCTCCTGAAACCTCCTCCTCTGACTGTACAGACCTGTGACCTTTCTGGTTCTATGACTTAGACGATTTCTGGGCTCATTAGATCAATTATAGATCTTGAGTATGCAATATCCAGTTTTCATGTGAGAATTAGACAGTTGTGTGTCACAGTGTGTGTGTCACACACACACAACTCCATGGGTAAAAACATCCACTGCCAAACCTGATGACCTAAGTTCAATCTCCTATGTGGTAGAAAAAGAGAATTGATTCCTCCGAGTTGTCATCTGACCTCCAGTTGCGCACAGTGGCATGTCTGTGCCCTCCCAAACATACGCACATGCGCATCAAATGAATCAATGTAGAAGTGTAATTTAAAGAGCGGGAAAAGAGAGTTAGACTCTACTATGTTACTTGTTTCACTTTTCTTACAGTCAGGTGTTATGTGGCTGGCAGTGATTAGTGTTGACAAAATTTCCAGAACAGGGGTGCTAATGGCACTATATGTGCAGTTATTGCTGGACTCTTCCAGTGTTCACATGCTTCCTAAGATGGCCTTTCTAGTAGGTACAGTAGTGCGTTGGTGTTTTTTCTATTTCTGCCTGAACGTGGTAGTCATGCTGCTCAATTCTTGAAAGGCTAGCACAATACAATCTGGATTTTAGAAATCCTATTTTTCTTCTTGCATAACACGGGTGCAAGTCAGTCTGTAGCTTTATGGTTAGCTAGAACCCTCTGTGTGTATTTTTAGAATTGGAGGTATAGGATTCTACAGAAAACAGTCGTGTTCTGTAAAGGTCACCTACGAAGCTCATTGGTAAAGTATCCTAGAGATAGCTGAGTCCTCATTATATGTGAATTCCTTTCTGAACTGGAAAATGCAAAGTATACCCTGTAGTAGAGTTGTGTAACTTGGCTAATTGAATTAGGTTTTCGTTAGTCTTAGGTACACACTGCTCTGTGTATTCCTCTTGTAACAAACACTACGAATAAAGCAATATAAGGGAGGAAAAAGCTTATTGCCTTGTATGTCCTGATAGCAGTCCATCCCCGAGGGAAGGCAGTCAGGACAGCGACTCAAGCAGGAGCAGAGGCAGGAGGAAAGCTGCTTACTGACTTGTTTCCTCTAGCTTGCTCAGCTACTTGGCTTCTATAGTTCAGACCCACCTGCCTAGAGATGGTACTGCTCACAGTGGTTTGGGGCCTCCCCCATCACTAGCAATTAAGAAAACACCCCACAGGCATGTTTACAGGCCAATCTGGTAGAGGCAGTTCTTTAGTTGAGGTTCTCCCTTCCTATGTAATCCATGTTTATGTCCAGTTGACAGAAACTAGCCAGCACAGTGTATCATGGATAGGTGTAGGGAATGCCATATGTATAATCTTACGGAGAGGTTCAGTAAAGATTGTAATTGGTGCTCAAAGTAGTAATATGAATTGCAGGCTATTCCTTAGAGGAATGAGGAATCATGGAATATCTGGAGGTTATCCCGCAACTGAAGTATTAGTGGAGTGATAGCTTATTTAGTAGAAAACTATAAAATCAAGGGCATAAATGTACTTTTTGGGTTCCTTTCTAGACTTTTAATTCAGGCTGGCTATGAGCTCAATGTTCAGGACCATGATGGCTGGACTCCTCTTCATGCTGCTGCACACTGGGGAGTGAAAGAGGCTTGTTCTATCCTGGCAGAAGCACTCTGTGACATGGATATCCGGAACAAACTGGTTAGTGAGCCTGACCCTCTCAAAGGGCAGGGAGATCAGGTGCCTGGGCCTTGCCTAGGCTGCAAGGCTCTGGTGAAACCCAGTTGGCTGTTCTGGGGGTGCGCATCACTGTGGCTGTGCTGTCCTCCGCCTCCTTGCCTTGCTGCTCGTTATCAGTAAAGTAGAAGTCCACCAACCATGTCATCTGGTTCTGCTTGTGTTGAAGCCCCTAAAACAAAATGGAAATGAAAAGAGCTAGCTGCTCTTGACAACAAGTGAACTTTGAGAACCTAATGTCCTGTCTGTGGCAAGATATGAAGGATTTTACTATTTTTTCAACCCAGTCTTTTAACAGCTGAGCTCTCAGCACATGGAGTCATCAAGAAATTCACTAATGGCAAAGGTTGTTCAGTTTTGACAGAAAGCAGTCCTCAGTCTCACTTCAAACAACTTAGGAGCCCTGGGACTCTTATCCCACATCGCTTGATTTTCTAGAATTCGGACACATGGTTTTGTCTGTCTCGTATAACTCCTGAATCCAGGTCTCATTCTCAGGCTATAGGTCAGAGCATGTAATTGTACTGGTGTTTCCTAAAAGAAATAACCTTCCTGTCTTCCCTCCTCTATCTTAAAGGGAGCTCCTTCCTATTGGTCTTCAGTGTGGGTATGCCCCAAACTCTCCTTTGAGGCTTTAAAGGGCACTTACTGAATTTGTCATCACAATAATACTTTAGAACAGGTATAAATAGGGATTCCCCTTGATTACTTGTCAAGAGGCCATAGCATTAGAAACAGTGCCACTGCAACATTTCCCCTCTACTGTTTGACACAGCAAACTCTGTGGTCAAACCATTTGCTGTTTCTTAAAGTGTCTCCTCTGTGATGTATGAAGGCATCTCAATGTAGAGCAGACAGATTAGGGAGCCAGCTATGGGTTGGGCATCTCTAACCCAAGTCTAAAATCTGAAATGCTTGTAATCTGAGACTTTGTGAGCTCTGATATGATACCCCAAGTGGAAAACACTACTATTTTGACTGAAAGCATACCATGAATTTTTAGCCATACCATAAAATATTATACAAAACCATCTTTAAGCTATATGTGAAATATAAATTGATTTTGTTTTGTACTTGGGTCCTGGTCTCAAGATGAGCATATATATATATGAGTATATATATATATATATTCTAAAATCCAAAGCACTTCTGCTCCTAAGCATTTTGGATAAAGGGCATTCAGCTTATATCTAGGAGTAAAAGACAGCAAGTAAGTAGAGAATAGTCCCTGATGAAGTCACATGATTGCTGCTTCTGTTTTCTATCTATCACGGTGCCCCTTTGTCCTGCTAGGGCCAGACGCCATTTGATGTGGCTGATGAAGGTCTTGTGGAGCACTTGGAGATGCTTCAGAAAAAGCAAACTGTGGTAAGTCTGGTTGATGCTTTCAAGGCTTTCTTAGCAGTTTATAGTTTACCCTGGGTGTCTCTGTCTCTTGCTTCAGTGCCATTGGTTTAGAGTTGAACCAAATGTATCTGCATTTCACAGATGTTATTTGTTCCTTTCAGAAATTATCAACAGTCTGCTTAAAGAGACTAGGTTGTAAAGATACTTAGCATGAAATAGCCTACAGGCAGCTAGAAGTCGATTACAGAGAGGAACGAAGTCAGTAATACTGCAGGTGTCACGTGGTGTTAGACAGTACTTGGTTAGTAGTGATTCGCACTTACTTCAGATGGATGAAACAGTCCTCTTCTCTCTCTTCCTTACTGTAAAACCTTCATTGATTTCATCTGCCTTTCTGCTTGGTGCTCTGCAGAAGAGCTACATATATGTGCTGCTCATGAATGGAAAATCACCTCTGGTAAAGAGGGACCAACTCACATTTTCTGGCAATGGGTAATTTGGACAGGGGAATAAAATTAGTGTAGGACAGAAAGAAAAAAAAACATACTAGCTTCCCTTTATTTTTTCCACTTGCATATAGTGCAGGGTATGTGAACTTAAGTTTAGGACAAATGTGGGAAATAGAGTGGGTTTTGATTCAGAGCTGTATAACTCAGAGATGTGACAGATCAATATATCTAATGTGAGGAGTATTTGTCATCATGTCTGGAGTATTGAAGCAGAACTCTTTTTTTCAAGTAATTTATTTTATGTGCATTGATGTAAAGGTGTTGGATCACCTGGTACATGGCAGGCAGTTGTGAGCTGCCATGTGGGTGCTAGGAAGTCCTCTGGAAGAGCAGCTTAGCCATCTCTACCCCCTGAAGCAGAATTCTTGTTACTTTAAGGCTCATTTAGAAAGACACGTACATGAAGCTCAGACGAACAACTTATGGCTCATTTGTTTTCTTTGCCAAGTATTTAGGATCAGCTAAGTGCTAGGACATTCCAAATTCATTGTTAATGCTATTAGCAGCAGTAGCCTTCCTTAGGCTAGAGCTCTGTTTTGCATAGTTAAATTTTTGTGTTTTCGTAAAATCTTGTCCTCAAAAGTAATTTAGACCTACATAAAAATTGCCTAAATTGCTAAATTGGATTGCTTGATTTCTTCAAATATGACGGTAGCTAGAAGTTTCTCCCGTCCTGCCTGGGCCCTACAGTCCCATGGCCTGCTTATAAAATATTATTAAGCCTCTGTGCTTAATAATATTTATAACTCCTTGGCCATTAGCTCAGGCTAACTACTGACTAGCTCTTACACTTAAACTCAGCCCATTTCTGTTAATCTATATGTCGCCACATGTTCTGTGGCTTTACCTGTGTTGTTACATGCTGCTCCCTGGACTGTGGCCTAGTATCTCCTGACTCAGCCTTCCTCTTCCCAGAATTTTCCTTGTCTGCTTATCCTGCTTGTTCTTCCTGCCTGGCTACTGGCCAATCAGTATTTTATTAAACCAGTGTACAAAAACATTATTCCACAGCATTTCCCCTGTTCTGTTTAATTAAAAAAGAAAGTTTTAACTTTAACATAGTAAAATTATATATAACAAAACAATTATCAAGCTTGAATTACAGTTACAGTATCTAGTTTATTTAGATTTGGCAAATTCAAAGAAAATATTCTGTTTATCTTATATTTGTGAGTCTAAGGTTTCATATCTAACTTTCTTTTATCATGACTAAGGAAATTTTAACTATCTAGTCTTCAACTACATCAAAGACCTCAGAAGGATATAATATTGCCTAAGTAAACAGGAAGTGCATTGTAAACAACTTCCAAAAATCCAGAATGACAGAGACAGCTGGCTGCCTGGACAGTCATCTAAAGTTCTTCTGTAACGTTGGGGCATTTATCTTCAGCCCATAGGCCTAGTCTCTCAGTCACTTCTTTCTGTGTACTATAGAACATCTGGCAGTTTCTTCTGTGAAACAGGAACCTGAAGGACCATTTTGCCTTGCAAAGTTCAGTGGTCACCTTCCTGTGGGTCCTGCATGTCCAGTCTATACAACATTTTGTCAAGCAGTCCAGGCAAGAACACTTTCTTGCCCAAACAGCTATTTTTGCCAAGAAGAAGATAAACTCCATATGGAGCCTTCGGTGCCCATCTTTCTCTTTGAAATAAACTGATACTGCCAGGAGCAGATGTGTCTCATTATTCAGAAAGTCTAAGTTTTAAAAACATTTTAAATGCCATAGTTTGTAGGTCTTTGAAGTGTTTGAAGATTGCCTACTTAATTGAATTATGTCTATGTATACCTAGAAAACTTAACATGACTATAAGTTTGACTATCATAAAAGACTAAATATTAATCTGTATTTAATTATCCATTACAATTTAAATGAGTTACATAAACAAAATACCTTAAATGAGAGTAGAAATATATATATATATATGTATAACAAAATCAGCTCTAAATTTGTGTCAATAAACTAAAATCCATAGCAATGTAAAACATTTTAAACAGGTTGCTCTTTAAAAATAGATTCAATAATCTACCCTTTCATCCGATTGTATGTATATCATAGCCCCCTTTTTTCTTTAGAAAGATATTGACTATGACCTATAACCATCTGTAACCAACAACCTAAACAAAGACAAACATCTATAATCCATTTTTTGGGAATGTGGGCATAGTTTTCTAGGCTACTTCCTGCTGATAAAGGGCGCTGTATTCTTATGGGGATCCTGAGAAAATTAAGAATTATGGTCAAGTCCTGATGGGAATAGTCTGTGAGGCTGCATTGTCTGAGCCAGTTGCCTTGAAACCGTTCTGGATGTTGGATCATCTGGGCCATGGTGTCATTGGCGACCTTTCAGGGGGTCTTGGCTGGTCAAACCATATTTAGCCTGGAAGCAATCCACAGTTTCTCATCTTCTGTGGAAACAAAAGCAGAAACTCCTTTCCAAAGCAACGTATCCTTAGACATAAATTTTGAAATCAAGATATCTTTTATATATATATATATATATATATATATATATATATATATATATATATATATATATATATATATATAAATTTAACTCAGCAGCTTTTACACTCAAATGTCTCTCTGCAGTTAAAAATCCCAAAGACAACATAATCCAGACTCTCTGTGTGATATCCATATTTTTTATATTACTTTTACTATCTCTTTAAAGACTTTATTTTTTAATATAACTGTCTATATTCCTTTTCCTCTCTCTTTCAAGCCTATGCACATTTTTACATATACTGTAAACCATTTAGAGGTTTATTTAATCTGAATCTGACTTATTTGTGAATCTATTGTTTTAGACTGTACAATGACTAGGACTGAAATAGCAGCTTTGGCTGCTGGCTCCACCCACCTCAGCTTTCCAACATGGTGGAAATAATTTTCTGCTGATTCTGGGAGGCAGGGGATCTATGCCTCTATCAAAGCAGTATGTAGCCCAGAAACTGCCCCCTCCCTTTTTTTTATACTATCAAAAACTAAATCCACCACACACTGCGCGGATCACAGAAGCCACTGTGTACAGTGGCAGGAATCCGCCATGCTGCACTTAAGCCCACACGCCATGAACCCGGCCATACTGTAGCCCAAGCCCACAGGCTGTTGCGTCTCTGTATCACAGCTTTCCTGAAAGATACAACTAGGAAGCTGCTCTTGGCTCCATTTTAGAACCCTTTTTTTTAAAGCTTTCTCATGTTTTGAGTGGAAATTCTTGCCCCATGTCTGGGTGCCATTTGTAGCTGAAAGTTTACCTGTGTCCCGTCTGCAGATGCCCAGACCCAAGTAAACACACAGAGGTTTATATTAATTAAAACTGCACAGCCATTAGCTCGGGCTAACTACTGACTAGCTCTTACACTTAAACTCAGCCCATTTCTGTTCATCTATATGTCGCCATGTGTTCTGTGGCTTTACCTGTGTGCCATTACATGCTGCTCCCTGGACGGCAGGCTGGCATCTCCTGACTCAGCCTTCCTCTTCCCAGAATTCTCTTTGTCTGCTTATCCCGTATATACTTCCTGTCTGGCTACTGACCAATCAGCATTTCATTAAGCCAGTGTATAAAAGCATTGTCCCACAGCATATGACCTCATCATTCCTGGCCTTGAATGTTTATTTGTGCCTTTGAATTCATTTCTTTTTTTTGGGGGGGGGTGTTTCAAGACAGGGTTTCTCTGTATATTTTTGGTGCCTGTCCTGGATCTCGCTCTGTAGACCAGGCTGGCTTTGAACTCACAGAGATCCGCCTGGTTCTGCCTCCCGAGTGCTGGGATTAAAGGCATGTGTCACCACCACCCAGCTGGATTCATTTCAAACCATCTTAAATACTCTTTGGGTAGGTTCTTGTAGAAGAATGAAGTGTTTTTCTGATACAGAAAGTTACAAGAATCGGAGCCTGTATCAGTGTCTTTTATATTGTAGTGATGAGTACTTGAGAGGAACTATGTAAGGGGAAGATTTATCTTGACTCATGGTTTCATAGATTTCAGTCCATAGTTCACACCCTTTAAGTAACATAATTGGGTTTGGAGCATAAATGGTATCTCCCCCAACCATTTGAATTCACTCCTTAGCCCAGGCTAGTCTGTGCTTGCAATCCTTCTGCCTCCGCCTCCCTAGTAACCGTTATGATAGGCTTACACACTCAGGCCCAACTGTACCACATAACCTTACTATACTAAAGGGGATGGTGGTTCTCTTTGTCCTCTGCATAACTTTAGGCCCCAAGGATATAAGTATATTTTATCTAGAGCACTGATTCTCGAACTTTCTAATGCTGCGACCCTTTAATACAGTTCCTCATATTGTGGTGACCACCAACCATAAAATTATTTCGTTGCTACTTCTTAACTGCAGTTTTGCTACTATTATGTTGAGAACTGCTGATCTAGAATATACATTTAAATATCAGACCAATTCTAATAGCATATATCTAATAGAAGAAATAATAACTTATTTTCCATATAGTATCTGCCTGCAATTTCGTTAAAATTATTAACAACTTATTTTGGTATGTGGATCATAAAATTCTTCCCAGGTTTCTTTTGTCTCTTTATCCTTTAGAAGCTAGGCTTTTTATTTATTTTTTTCCTATTTTGCTTTGATTTGAGATTTTGAAGGGACAATTTTTTGACTTTCCAGGACCATGGTTTTACTTCTACTGTGGATAAAGATTTTCCTCTGTTAACTTTCTTCCAAGGAGACATGGTGCACAGTGATTATGTGTTTGTCTCTTTTGTTTTGCTTTGCTTTGTTTTGTTTTGTTTTGTTTTTCAAGACAGGGTTTCTCTGTAGCTCTGGCTGTCCTGGAACTCACACTGTTGCTGTGGGATGTTCTCTATTCTGTGAATGTGTTGCTCTGATTGGTTAATAAATAAAGTGCTGGTTGGCCAGTAGCCAGGCAGGAAGTATAGGCGGGACAAAGAGAGAGGAGAATGCTGGGAACAGGAAGGCTGAGTCAGGAGACACTGCCAGCCGCTGCCATGACAAGCAACATGTAAAGATACTGGCTACACACTGTAGACCAGGCTGGCCTTGAACTCAGAGATCTGCCTCTCTCTGTCTTCCAAGTGCTGAGATTAAAGGTGTGCACCACCACAGTGTGCTTGTCTTTTTCTTGGATTCCCTTCTCCCTCTTTGATTTTGTCCTGTTTTTTAATTTTTTTTTTTTTTTTCAGAATGATGGTACCAGTTTGGCACTTTTTGATACTATTGGTTTTTCTCAAATAGTCAACTTCTTTCCTTTTCTCTCTATTTTCTCAATTTCTAGCTTCGAAGTGAAAAGGAGACACGGAATAAGCTCATTGAGTCAGACCTGAACCGCAAGTTTCAGAGTGGACTCTTTAAGAAGTAAGATACAAAGAATTAGATGGGCTTGGTGTTCTGTGTGGGTGATCCTTGAGAATTTTGATGTTAAAACGATTCCGTGTTTGATTTTAGTCAAATGATCTTCAGATGTGGAAATGTTTTTGGGTAAGGGGAGATGGGACTGATATGGAGGGCACTGAGGATGAATGAATGTGCTTTACCCTGAGAAACTGTATTGGCAACATCGCTTTTAGCCTTACCTGGAGGTTCTTAGTCCTGCCGTCCCCCTTCTTATACTGGGTGTTTCCTCAGCTCAAGAATTTGTCCCTTTGTTTACCACTGTTTCAGTATCTAGCAAGGTTTCTGGGATGTAATAAAACTCAGTAAAGATTTGTTTGATGACTTCTAAAAATATTTATCAGCCCCATTACCATCTTACCCTTGTTATTCATGGTTCTCTTTTATCTGTATGTTGAATAGACAAAATATTAGTGAGTCATGTTCTAAAGTCAATAATAAACCTTATATTGTTGAAAAGCCAAGGGTCCAAGAAAACATACAGGTATAAGAAAGATTTCCATGTTTTTACTGTTGCTTCTACATACAGATTTATAGACTTGTTCCTTTTATTAACCTGATTGTCAGTGAACTTAAATGGTTTGTCCTTTCTGAATTGCTTCCAAATGACTTTAGCAAGGAGAAGATGCTTTATGAGGAAGAGAGCCCCAAGTCCCAAGAAACAGAGGAAGAAAACAAAGACTCGAGCAGCTCCAGCTCAGAGGAAGAGGAAGGAGAAGATGAAGTTTCTGAATCAGAAACTGAGAAGGAGGCAGGTAATGCAAAGGCCCTTCGTGTTCACTGCCTGTCAGGCTGCTCCGGCCCCACAGGCTTCCAGAGAGAGCTTGAAGTACAGTTCCCAAGAGATTTGAGTTGCTAATGACAGTATGCTTATAAGAGCCTTGAGCTCAGTTAAAATGTACCTGCCAGTTCTAATGTAGCCATATGGTGAGGTACATAGAGAAATCTTGCATGAGGGAGCCAGTTGTCCTACCCTTAGATTGATAGGTCAACCACAGCCTAGGAAGCCAGTATGCTGAGAGGCATGGGGCTTATAGAGAGAGACTTTAGGCCAAATGTTTTCAACACACTGGTAAAAATTTTTCATTTAGTTATTGTGTTACTCTGATTCTGAAAACTGAATCCTAATTTATTTTCCTATTTTGCAAACTTCTTTAGTTTCCGAGTGAGGGAATTTGTGAAAGGACAAATCAGACTTCTTTTTATTACTCTTATTAATAATATATACATTTGTCCTTCAGTGTCATGGGAGACTGGCTCAGGAGATAACCAAAATCCTTAGATGTGCAAGTCTCATGTATGTTGGGACAATGTTTGCATAGAACTTGTGTGCACCTGCCTGTGTACTTCAAACCATCTCTCAGCTGCTTATATTGTCTGGTACAGTGTAAATAACTCCTATACTATATTCTTTAGAAAATGATGAAAATGTAAGGACACAGACCTGGAAAAAAAGAAAAAAACAAAAACTATATATGTTTAGCACAAATGCAAGATCATAGTTTTTGTTTCCAAATTATTTTTAGTTTGTTGTAAGTTGAAGGACTGAGGCTGTGTGTCAGTGTTTGGCTTTGCTGATAGTTTCTCTCAATCAGTGACAATACTGCTCTTCATGTCTTAATCTGAGGTTCATTGACTGCCATCAAAGGAAGTTAGATGCCATTAGTTTTATAGAGAAGGCAGGTGTCAGATAAGTTTTCAGTAAAGGGGAATTGACTTTTTATTCATGGAGCCTTGGATTTCCTTTAAATTATTTATTATATTTATGTATATGGGTGTTTTGCCTGCTTGTCTGTGCACTACATGCATGTAGTACTTGTGGAGGCCAGAAAACAGCATCAGGTCTCCTGGAACTGGAGTTACAGATGGTTGTGAGCTGCTGTGTGGGAGCTGGAAATATTACCCAGGTTCTCTGGAAGAGCAGCCAGTGCTCCTGACTGTCCATCTCTGAAGCCACTTAAAATTTTTAAATTTTTTTCTATTATTAATCATTTGTAGCTTGCTCTGAAAATGCTTGTATTACACCCACCAAAAGTTACAAATGTGTACTTTCATTATTTGTATTATTTACCAAGCACCCCCATAGTCTAGTCTTCACACAGTATCTGGAATTCATACTTGGTTTTGTTCTGTGTTACATTTTTGTTGTTGTTGTTGTTGTTGTTAGTCACTATGGTATTAAGAAAATGGGAGGGAGCTACCAAAACTGTTTCTATTGCTTCATGATTTATACTCCTGCCTCAGGTCTTATTCCTTACAGACTGTCTTGGTTTGTGTTACTATTGCTATGATTAAACACAGTGACCAAAAGCAAGTTGGGGAGGAAATGTTTTATTTGCCTTATGTTTCTCTACCTATAGTCCATCACTGAGGGAAGTCAGGACAGGAATTCAAACAGGGGAACCTGGATTCAGGAGCAGATGCAGAGGCTCTGGAGGGGTGCTGCTTACTGGCTTGCTCAGCCTGCTTTCTTATAGAATCCACGACTACCAGCCCAGGGATGGCACCACCTACAATTGGCTGGGCCCTCCCCCCATTAACCACCAATTAAGGAAATGTACAAGAAGTTTGTCTATAGCTTGATCTTATGGAGGCATCTTTTTCTTTCTTTCTTTCTTTCTTTCTTTCTTTCTTTCTTTCTTTCTTTCTTTCTTTCTCTCTCTCTCTCTCTCTCTCTCTCTCTCTCTCTCTCTCTCTCTCTCTCTCTCTCTTCTTTCTTTTTTTTTTTAAACAGGGTTTCTCTATGTAGCCTTGGCTGTCCTGGAACTTGCTCTGTAGACCAGACTGGTTTTAAACTCACAGAGATCTGCCTGCCTCTGCCTCCCAAGTGCTGGGATTAAAGGCATGCAGCACTGCCACCCAGCTGGAGGCATTTTCTTAATTGAGGTTCTCTCTTCTCAAATGATTTTAGTTTGTGTCAAGTTTACATAAAACTATCCAGTGCACAGACTGCTATTGGAATAAAGTATTGACAACACCCTTATGATCAAAGTATACTTCTGTTTAGCAATCTTCTATGGCCAGTGCCCTCATTCCGTCTTTGCGTGCTGAATAAGTCCCAAACCCTGTAGCCTAGCCTTCAAAGCCTCAGATATAGCTCCAACAGACATTTCCACTGCTCTACATAGGCAAGAGCATATTGTAGCTAAACTGGTTGGCTTGGTTTCCTCAAATATGACCTCAGCATTCCTGGCCTTGGATGTGTATTTTTGCCTTCTAATTCATTTCAGACCATCATAAATACTTGTTGAGTGGGTTCTTTTAGAAAGTGTAGGGTCTAGAAGAGTGAAGTATTTTTCTGATACAGGAAGGTAGAAGAGTTGGAGCCTATATTAATGTCTTTCAGATTGTAGTGATGAGTACCTGAGAGGAACTATGTAAGAGGGGATTTATTTTTGACTCATGTTTTAGAGATTTCAGTCCACAGTCAACTGGCTCCATGTTTCAGGGCCTGTGATTAAGCAGAATGTCATAGTGTCAGAGAGGTGTGGTAGAACAGAGATGCTCATATTGTAACATCCCAGAAGTAGAGACAGATAAGGGTGAGAATCAAGATACTCCCTGTTGTTTTTATATCTGCTGCACCATGACTACACCTGATCCTACCAGTGCCTCAGCTGCTGACTGCATCTGCACAGCCACCTCGATACTAAGGCCATGGGCTGGGAGAGCCTTGGCATCCCAACGCTGCCTCAGCCGCCTCCTCTTAGGGAGACCAATATTGTTTTAACTAAGTCACTGCCCTTTTATTTTACCAGTAAAGACTCGGGAGCCAGATGCTGGGGTAAAAACCTGCTAGCTCAGAGAGGCAGAGAAAGCAGCGGAGTAACCTTCTTCCTCAGCCATTGTCTCAGAAAGAGAGCCTGTCCTACTCTGTCTGAAAACAAAACTCCTCCAACTGGATATTCCTCCCTTCTACTTCCTGTGCCTCTCTTAGACCTTCCAACTTCCCCCTCCTACTCTGTGGTTGTTTCCAGTCACGGTTGCTTGTGCCTCTCTACCTATGGTTGATTTTATCTAGTTAACGCAATCTCGGGGTTCACAGTATGATCAAATACCCTGCAACAACTCCCAGTGACCTGCTTACCTCCTACCATCTCCTGAGAATGCCACCAAAGTACGAGTCTGTCATGCATTATCACCAGTGAAGTCAGGGCCCTTATGATCCAGTCATCTCTCTTAGTCCCTCACTAGGGACTAAGTCTTCAGTACTTGAACCTAGACCTGTGATGGTTATCTTGTCAACTTGATGGGATCTAGAATCACTTTGGAGACAAATTTCTGGTCATGTCTGTGAAGGACTTTCTAGATTAGGTTATAATTGGGGTGGGAAGACACCCCATAAATTTGGGTGGCACTATTCCGTAGGTTGGGATCCCAGGCTAAATGAGAGAGAGAGAGAGAGAGAGAGAGAGAGAGAGAGAGAGAGAGAGAGAGAGAGAGAGAGAGAGAGAGAGAGAGAGAGAGAGAGAGACAAGGCTAGCTGAGCACAAGCATTTGTCTGACTGCAGTCATGATGTGACCAACCACTTCTCCTCCTGACTCTACCTTTCCTTCCGTAATGGACTATATATCCTAGAACTGCCTTCCTTAGGTTGCCTTTGTTAGAAGATAGCAACCAATACAAGCCCCTTTCTGTGTTTTCCTACCCTGTGCTTTTCACTCCATTTCTGTCTCTATAGCACTGTGCACTTACTTCTGCTCCAGTACCTACCAGTTTCTCTGGGAACACCGAGTTTAGTATTATACTCGAGGTTTCAGCGTACAACACCATTATATTCATTAAGTGGTTTTGTTGACTATACTTAGTAAAAGAATAGAAGGCATTATATAAATAAAATGCATGTCGTGTGAGAGAGGTAAATGCAATCAGTGGTCTTCACTAGTAGGAAAGATTATAATTCATTCTTGGAATTACAATACAACTTTACATCTCTATAGTGCTTTTTACTTTGCAATACACTTAAACAATTTTACTTAATCCCACAACCATTCTTTAGAGCATACATTATTATCACTCTCTTTTTAGAGTAAGATATTGACACTGTATGGCATTATGTGAACTAGGTTTCATAGCTAGCCAGTGGCACTGTTCACTGGGTAAAGAACTCATAGTAGGAGGGGACAGTGGAAATTCTCTGTGTAGAAATAAAAGATGAGAACTGTAGAAGAGGGGAGCTGGAGAGATAGCTTAGCTGTTAAGAGCACTTGCTACTCCTGCAGAGGACCCGAGTTCAGTTCCCAGAACTCATGGCAACAGCTCACAACTGTCTGTAACTCCAGTTTCTGGAGATCGGATGCTCTCTTCTCATTCAGTGGGCACCAGGTAGGCATGTGGCTCACATACACATGCAGATATATAAAATAATTTTTGAAAACCCGTAGAGAAGTACGAGGTTCCCAAAGATTATAGAAAAGAAGAGACATGAGAAAGAATCTCAGGGCATTCTGTGTTTTGAAATTGAGGTGATGGTAGTAAGGGAAACACCGATATATGACCAGGAGGTTGAGGAAAACCAGAATGTGCATTTCTGCCTCAGAGAAGCCAGCAGTGATGAGCAGTAGTGTGATGGGAGCATGCGGGGATGATACAGCAATTAGGAAGTCACCAGTGACTAGAGAGCAGTTTCAGTACCCCGGTGTGGGCAGAAGCCAGATGGTTCTAGCAAACTCCCCTACTCATTCCTGGAGTCCTTTGCCAACTGACATTTTACTCATGTCTCAGAGCTCCGCTCAAATCAACCTTTATTACCTGGCCATGCAGACACATGGGTTTCTTTCCTCTGTCGATGTTAGTAGCTGTTTGTTTGCAGCTCTTTTATAGTAATTTTCCCATGCTTCTTAATAGTTAAACTATCTCTGTTCTTTTCTCACCCATTCTGCTGTTCCCATAGACAAGCTTTGGATGCATTTGAATGTTCTTACATGTTTTCTCCATCTTCGTGTGTGCCGTATGGCCTTCTGTGTGTAGGTGTTCATTAAATATGCTGGTCGAGTGCACGGAAGTGGGTTGTACCTAAGCCTTTCTAGATGTTGTTTATCACAGGAACAAATATCTGTTGAATGCATTTCTCCCATTTTTAAAAATCCATAGATGCAACCTCATAAAAATTAGAGTTCTCATGTGTCTTAGACATTGATATTATATTAAAAATATCAATTACATTTTGAGGTGAATATAAGCATTTTGATTAGAATTTCTATGTTCTCTTTTTTTGTCTGACTTAATTATTTTGTATATTAATTCTCTGTTGCTTCATAATAAACTACCTCCAAACTTAATGGCTTAAAACAGTAACTCTTGAGCTAGGGTTTGGCTCAGTTGTAGAGTGCTTGCCTAGCTTATGCAAGGCCCTGGGTTAGCTCCCCAGCACTGCATAAAACCTGGCCTGCTGCACGCTCCTGTGATTTTAGCAATTGGAAGGTAAAAGCAGAAGGATCAGAAGTTCAAGGTCACCCTCTGCTACATAGCCAGTTTGACATCACACTGAGTTACGTAAGACTCTGTCTCAGTGGGGGTGGGGGAGGGAAGGAGCTGAAAAAACAGAGGCTCTTTATGTGAACGCTATTCTATGGCTTGGCAACTGGGGAAGGGGTCCGGCAGATAGCTTGTCTCTTCCTTAAGGCAGTGGTGGCTCTGATGGTCAGGACAAGTGGTGGCCCCGATGGTCAGGACAAGTGGTCTCCTTTCATCCAGCAGGCCTGCCCTGGTTTCTTCACGTGGCAGCTGGATTCTGAAATTAGTTAAGAGGGCAAGGCTGAGTGTCTCAATTGCTGATGTTTCAGAGGCCGTAGCAAGCAACCTGGTCGAGCCCAGAGGCCCAGAGTTAATGTGAAAAAGGCACTACATGAGGCCATGGGTTCGGGGAGTCACAACGCATCGGCAGCCAATACTGTAACGATCTATTTTATTTGGCTTGTAAGCTGGAGTTCTTGGGAGTTTAGATACATTTAGTACTTAGAGAATGCCTTATCATTATAATAACTATGAAATGATAGTATTAAAAGCAGAAAGAGGCTTACTATGGCCAGTGAGATATGCAGTCTAAAAGTACTATTTCTAATCTTCATAAAAATACTATTAAAGCAAAAATTAAAATCTCTAGTTAGGGGCTGGAGAGATGACTCAGCAGTTAAGAGCACTGGCTGCACCTCCAGAGGTCCTGAGTTCAATTCCCAGCAACTACATGATGGCTCACAACCATCTATAATGGGATCTGGTGCCCTCTTCTGGCATGCAGGTATACATGCAGAACACTCATACATTAAAAAAATATAAATAAATAAAAAATTCTTTAAATCTCTAGTTAATTAGAAAACAGAGCTTCAAATATGATATGTAACCTAGTGTCACACAGTTAGATGTAGCTTATTATCACAAGATCCATGAAGTTTACTCTGGATCTGTTCTCAGAGCATAAATACCAGAATCATAGCCACTAGGTACAGGCTCTGTGCTAGTTATTAACTGACATACAGCCATATGTAAGGCAGACAGCTTTCTGATTGCTGACCCTGCTGGGCTGGACCACTCCTAGCTATGTGAGTCCGTTACTAAAGTTCTGAAACTTAATCAACACTCTCTGAAATCCTTTCCACTGTTAGGTCCTGTTGTAACTCCAGTCACTTACTAACCAACAGATGTGTGATTGTGATCACTGAGACATCATTCCTCCTCTGATCCGTCTGTCTTTCCACTTTCTCTGGAGCTTTTTAGAGAATCTTGAATGATTGTCTCAGCTTTCAGAGGCTCCGCCCTTCTTTAAAATCTACAGCACCTGTTGATCTGAATCAACCACAAGATCTTGTGGGTTTTTATTATAATGTGTCTTATTTCTTTTTTATTGTAATTACCTAGAAAGCAAAGTCTATCTTATGCATTTTCTGTTTTCATTTCCCAGCCAACTTCCCTACAGAACTGAACAGATTCTTTATAATGATGAATTTTACATACGATATAAATACACACACACACACACACACACACACACACACACACACACACACACACTCACTCTCTAATGTGGAGACATTTTTTATCAGAAGTTGGAGCCTACCAAGATAAGGATATCCTTGAGTTTATTTTCTTTTACCCACAGTTGCTAGAGTTTGTCGTAGTGTGGGTTCAGACATCCCTTGTCCTAATAACCTGCTTTGATAATGACAGAACATTTCTTCCTTAATAGAAAGGGATTTATACACACAAAGATAAGATTTCCATATTTATATTTATTGCTTCTCTTGTCTTAAATAACAGATAAAAAGCCAGAAGCCACTGTCAACCATTCCAACTCTGAAAGCAAGAGTCGTATCATGGAGCAGATCCCAGCCCCAGCTCAGAACACCTTCTCTGCCTCTTCTGCTAGGAGAGTGAGTACTTTGGAATGGATTTGAGGTGTATTTTACTCTGCTACAGTAACACACACTTACAAAGGCCTCAAAGACACATTCTTACAAAACAGTAGGAGTACATCCTTGCCTCTCTTAGGCTAGTACACCAAAACACCATAAACTGTGACTTAAAAAACAGAAATTTTATTCTTACCGTTCTGGAGGCTGGAGAGTTCCCAGGACAGTGTGCTGGCCAGTCCCGCTCCTCGGAAGGTATATCTTGTGCTTGAGGATGTTCTTGCTGTGTCTTAGCATGTGGAAAGAGCGCTGGTGCCCTCCCTTAGAAGGGCAGCAGCCCCACGCTGTTGCCCACACTCGACCTTGTCACTTCCTCAGAGGCCCAGTGTCCAGATGCAGGAGTGATGGTTAAGACTTCAGTATGAGTTTTGGAGGGACACAAAATCCTGTCCATAACGTTGACCCACCAGTCCTTGAAAAACCAATACCAAACAAATATGGCTACAAATGTGTTACAATAACAGGATGAAAGTATTCTGAGACCAAAAAAATTCTGTGTTTGAGCTGTTTTCTTCTTATTGACGATGAAGATGACTGTATACAAAGTAGACTGGCAGGAAGACACCCAGCGACCAGAAATGTTTTGATGGCAATTGCTTTGTCTACTTCTCATGGAAAGTTTAGTCTCATGGGTAAGGCTGCTGCTGCCCTATATGACGAGCGAGGATGGAAGAAGAAGGACTTGTTGAAATGCCACAGCACTCCCGTGACAACTTTATGTAGGCCTCTCAGAAGCTGTAGGCTTCTGGCCGAGAGACAGAGTTGCTCTGAGATTTTGGAATGGGCAATTGGGAAAGCTCGCTGGCCTTAGAGGTTTTAATTGGCCACCTTAGGGGAAATGAAGCACAGTCTAGCCAGGCCCTGTTTATTTTTAGAGGCATCATTGTGAATCATTAGTCAGGCTTTAGATAGCGTGCCATCTTTGCTCGTTATCCAGTCGTTTACTCGCTCCTCAGATACTAGCACTACTTCTAGGTGTGCCTGCACGCCTACGTTTTATAAAAGAACAATTCCAACTCAGGAAATACAAAAACGCATACGTCCTCTATGCTAAAGTTATACTGGGAAAGGAGGAAGAGTTCCCATTAGTGTCAGTGGCTTATAAAAAGGAAGGAACTCATAAGTGTGTATTTAGATGACTGATAACAGGAGAAAATCTGAGTGGAAGGTGGATGGAGATGAGTGACTTTTACTCTACTCACCAACAAACATGACCTGGTTTTGGCAGAAAGACACAAGATTTTTTAAAAAGGTCCCTAGGCCCTAGGAAGGGCACTGTTGCCTGGCATCTGAAGGACCAGTTATATCCTAAAGACCCTGATCTGCTTTCTGGGCTAATGCTAGCCTGTGATGTTTCCCTGCTTTCTTTGTTTCTCTGCACTAGGGACTGAACCTTGCTTGTATATGCTAAGTACGCACTCTACCACTGACCCATGTCTCCAGCCTGTTTCCCTGCTTTATAAAATGACAATGTAAAATTGCCCATGAAGTGCTGTGTTTGTCTCTAGTGCTGACGCTAGAACCTAGGGTCTTGAACATGCTAGACAAGCATAGTACCACTGAGCTGCATCCCGCTGGAAACTTTCTTTTCCTTCTCTGTGGTTTTGAGACAGGTCTTAGGTAACCATAGGCCATGCTGGCCTCAAACTTACTGTGTAGCTGAGTGCGACCTTGGTCTACCTACCTCTACCTTCTAAATGCTGTTGGATGTTCTTTTTAATGCAATTGTGGTGATGGTGAGCTATTGACTTCTTGGGAAGGTGCTCTGTCTAGGCAGAATAAGAAAGATGGTAACCTTCTCATCTCTAAAAATTTTATCTTTTAAAATTTCTTGCTCAATAAAATGTCAAACTCTTTGAAATTGCTGCTTAATATAAATAGATTATTTTCTTAATATTAGAGTTAGATTTTTGAGGAGTTGCCAATAGTATTAACGTATCACATGAGAGACCTTGGATCACTCAGTCCTAAATGAGATCTCTCCATCAAATCCCTCCCCTCAGAGCTCCTGTGGAAGAGGAAGCAGAAAGAGTGTTAGAGCCAGAGGGGGTGGAGGACACCAAGGAAACAAGGCCCTCTAAATCAGCATGAACAAAGCTCATGTGAACTCACAGAGACTGAGGCAGCATGCACAGGGCCTGCATGGTGGTCACTAGGTCCTCGACACTTAGGTTATGGCTTCCAGTTTAGTGTCGTATGGGACTCCTGAGTGTGTGAACAGTGGGTCTCTGTTTCTTGTGCCTTCTCTTGGGCTCTTTTCCTTCTGTTTGTTTTGTCCAATTCTAATGTGTTAGTTTTTGTTTTATTATGTTTTATTTTATTATTATCCCTTTACTAGTGACAGATAAAATGGGAGGGGATCCATAGGGGATAGGAGGTCAGGAGGAACTGTAAGAAGTAGAGAGAAGGGAAATTTTGTAATCAGGTTATATTATGTGAGAAAAAAATCTTTCAATAAAAGGAAACAATTAGCTTATCACATGGAAGAACACTGCCTCCACATATATTTATACATTAGCTCACCCTGATTCTTCAGACTGTATCAGGGGAAGAATTAAGCTCATTACCACAGTTTCACAGATAAGCGCATTGAGACATAGAGAAGAAAAGGAGCTTACTTCCAAGTACCAGCAAGTCAAAAGAAAATGAATCACCAGAGCGGTCTCCTGGTGCTTCTGGACAGTGCTGGTTCTCGAGGACAGCAAAGGGGCTTCCTTTCTCAGAGCATGTCTGTGGGTTGGAGCACTAAGAATTGGAGTTCACTGCTGGCTTCTGAAGAAAGAGCCCTCGGGAGGGAGCATCTAGCATCTGCCAAGTGAGTGGGCACAGTGGCAGGAAGCCTGCCAGCGGTCTGTTCCTCTAGCAAGCACAATAGGCTGCTCCACTGAGCTTCGTCAAGTGGGAAAGCAGAGAGGAAAAATCACAATAGGTCATCAGGACTTCCCCCTTCTTTTTCTTCCCTCATAGTTGTCCAGTCTTTTCAACAAGGCAGAAGAGCCCAAAGACGAATCTCCTTCTTCATGGAGACTGGGACTCAGAAAAACTGGCAGTCACAATATGCTGAGTGAAGTGGCTAACTCCAGGGAAGCCGTTCGGGATCGAGGCTCCTCCATCTACCGATCCTCATCAAGCCCTCGGATCTCAGCTTTGCTGGACGACAAAGATAAGGTGCAGTGGGGGAGGGGGGAGGGGGTCTGCAGGGCATTCCAAGGCAGGGTTCTCTGGTGCAAATTCAGTCCCGACAACAAGTGGAAGTATTTTCTAGTCCCCAAGTTGACTGTGGAAGAACAAAGACTGTGAAGATTTTTTCAAATGGAGAACGAAGTAATTCCTCATATTACAGAAGGATGAGGGGCTTTGGTGTCCGGCATTGGGTGTCTGTTGAAATGAGTTGGCCTTGTCACTTCAGTAGTTTCATCAAGTAGTTATGTATTTGCTAGTATCTTTCTCAGCCAAAAAAGAAAGTCTTAAAAATAGCTTTTGCCTTTGGCTTATTCTATGCTCCTTCTTTCTTACTTTACCTAGAGCCAAACAATGACTCAGAACGTTGAACATGGCCCAAATGGTTCTTCTGGGTCAGTATCAGGAAAACTTACCCTTTTGATGTTTGCAAGCAGAGTTGAACTTTAAACCTTAATGCAGCTGGACACATTAGCACTTAGTGGTTTATTGTTTCTTTGTTAAAAATTAAGACAGGGTGGCCTGGAACTTGCTCTGTAGCCTCAGCCTCCCAAATGCTGGAATTCTGGGTGGATACTATCTTACCCTGCCTGGTAGAAAAATGTTAACCTGTTATTTTTCATGTATAGAAATATCTGATTAGGCTGACTTCCCGAGCAGTTCACCATTATATTCATCAAAGAAGAATTTGGTTCTAGATTTCACCGGGTTCACTTAGTGTTCTTCTCTGGGGTCTTCCTTGTAATCATAGTCCTCTTCCTGTTTGCTTTTCTGGTGACAGCTTGAAGGGATGGGTTCTAGTGATCGGATGAACTGCAGTCTACCTGTTGTGTGTGTCACTGGGAGGTTGTATGCCAAGGGAAAAGTAGCTGGAGACCAAATGAGACTGATGTATGCAGGGCGTCACGTGGAGCTGCTGGGGCTTCTCAGACCCTGTCACTCCCCTCCAAGCTGCCCTTTGTCTGAGTTGTGCTGTTTTCTTCACTGGAGCGCCCTGACTTCCCTCTTGACAATTGTTTCCCTCTGTACAGGGTTTTTATGAAGGAAAGGTAAGAATACGTTTTTGAAAGCTCACCTTTTGTAATGCCACTCGAAGTAGAAGTAAGGATGAATCCAGATAGGAGAATATGCAACTGTCATAAGTTCCACTTTTCCTCCCTACTTGAGATTTGAGGCGGTCTCACTGTTGGAGCTCTGGCTAGCCCTGAACTTAAAATCTTCCTGCTTTTACTTCCCAAGGGCTGGGATGACAGATGTACAACTATGCCTAGGAGAGTCCTGCTTTTTTACCAAGAATGTTTTATGCTGTGTCACTCTTGAGCCTTTCTTGCATTTTACATGGTTTTATTTTTTATAGGATAGAGAAAACAAAAACTATTTTAGTACGCTGTCACCCCGGAGGCTCAGCAGCACAAGTGACATTGAAGAAAAGGAGAACAGGTAATCACAGTACGTGCCAAAAGATGGTTTCTTTCAGCCCCTCTGGGCACAGGATCTGGCTGTTCTTCTGCCTTGCTCATGGCGTTCTCAGTACATTATGGATTGCCTGACCCTCTGCTCAGATACTTCCCAGCCTTTGCTTTCTCTCTTGGTCAGTTCTTCACCCTTTACATTGTAACTCCAGATTAGACATTACTGTCTGTAGGACTCTGACCTTACCCAGTATGAGTTAGTGTTCGTACCCTAGCAGGCTCTGCTCTGTTTCTCAAGCCACTGGCCATGCCTAGTGTACTGTATACCACATAGTAAACATTGAATAGATTGTTTATGTGACATGATCAGCTTCTAATGTGTAAGGAAGTAAAATTTAATGCCTTCTTCACTAAAGAGTGAATTACAATGAATAGTGAAGATTTTAAAATATTGCTGCATTTCAAGGCAGAACCCAATCTAGACCCTTTTTTTTATGGCATGCTGCTCCCAACAGGCATCACTTGAGAGCCTGTTGTTGGGAGCCTGTTGCTGGGAGCCTGTTGCTGGGAGCCTGTTGCTGGGAGCCTGTTGCTGGGAGCCTGTTGCTGGGAGCCTGTTGCTGGGAGCCTGTTGCTGGGAGCCTGTTGGAACTGCAGTTCAGGCTGCAGCTCAGAGCTGCGGAATGAGAACCAGAATTTCCTAAGTGATCTAAATGAATGTTGAAGCCCAAGAAGGACTGTTGTAGGTACAGCCTCTGCAGCAGAGACCCCAAGTTCTTGAGTGTGAGTGTAGACCCCTACTGCATCCCCTTCTGGGTATCTTCTGGTTTGTAATGCTGAAGAGTCACCTAGCAGCACCTCTCCTCTTCTCCTTCTCATTAGCTCCTTTGCAGCCTGCCACTGGGGTCATTGCAGGGTGCTTTTCGAATGAGAATAAAAAGGGACTCCTCATCACAAAAGGATGAGGGGCTTCTGGTGTGAGGTGTAATTTGGTACCTGTTGAATGAGTTGACTTTCATGTTGATAGAAGAAAGCCAACACCAGTACAGGAGACAGGTATAGACAACAGAATCACTTGAAAGATGTGCCTGTTTCTCTAGCATGTTACAGCTTTCCATTGGCTCTTCTCTCTGTTTGTAGTCCAGACCTGTGGTAGGAATCATTGCTTTGTTGGTTTTTCTTTCTTGCCTCTACAGAGAGTCAGCTGCTAATATAGTGAGGAGTGGCTCCTACACCAGGCAGCTGTGGAGGGATGAAGCAAAGGGAAGTGAAACCCCACAGACAACTGCTCCCTCCACTTACGTGTCAACTTACCTGAAAAGGTACCAACTGCAGAGGGGTGGGAGATGGTCTTCCTTGGCTCTGATCATGGGAGTATGGGTAATGGTTGCATGCCTTTTATATCCAATTAGGACCACAAAAATGAATGACTTTTAGATTTGGGGACCAACATTTTCACTAATTTAGCATTGATTTGTTTCTCTTAATAACTGGATTAAAGTAAGCCAATTCCAATCCTTACTACAGACCTGACTTTACACTCCATCCTTTCAGCCCCATTAAAATTTCAGTCTGAAGTAGCATCTAGTGATCTCTGGGGAAAATGGAATTTATATACTCTTGCCTAGTCTTGGTTTTCCCTTTTCTAAAACTAGGTTAGTTTTCATCACAGTTCCACTTGGGGGTGGGGGTGGGAGGCATGGCAGGGTGGTAAGGAGTGGGAAACGGGAACAGTTTTCTGTTGGATTTAAGACATTTCATATTGAGCCTGTTAATTTAGGGACTTGAGTTGTTTTTGTTTTTTTATGACTTTAATGGCCCTCAGATCCATCAAGATGTGAAACTCGCAAGTTTGGTGTGCAGAGAAGGTACATGGGTTTCCTTTGATCTCATCTGTATTCTTTCCTGCAATTATTTTCTTTGCCACAAGCTAGCCAGCAAGCAAAGCACCTCTGCCAGAACCATTAAGCTCTAAGAGACACTTAGTAATATTTTGGTTTGGATTTTGCTGCTGATGTAGAAGAATCTGTTTTTCATTGCTTACTTTGAATTCTTTCTGCACTTCCACTTAACCCTTCAGCTGCCGCCTCCTGCCTTCGTCACCAGGCTTTCTAGATGGCTACCTTAGAGACAGGCTTTGGCCAAGACTAAGAGAGCAGATTAGCTGTTTGTGATCACAACTATTTCTACCTACCAGGAAGGCTCTTGATAGGTAGTTAATGTTGGAACATAGGAAATAAGCTATAATGGAAATAGATACCACTGCCTTTTAATTCTTCAGTTCTGCAGGTACATTCTAAGAAAGGTCTTGACTTTGAAAGTATACAGGTACAGCTCAGTGATCTCAGTGGCATTTTATTTTATGTATTTATTTATATAGGCAGGGCCTCATGTAGCCTCTCAGCTGGCCTTGAACTTACTATGTAGTTGAAAATAACCTTGGAATTTTGATCTACCTGCCTCCACCTCCTGAGTACTGAGGTTACAGGCATATGTCACCACACACATTTATGAGGCTAGGAATTGACCCCAGGGCCTCCTGTATGCTAGGCAAGCATACTACCAACTGAGTTACAGCCAAGCCCACTGACAATTATACAGATCAGGTGTTTGGGGCTTTATGAGGGTATCTCCCATTTCTCTTAAAGAGAAAGGCCTTGAATAGATATATCACTATTTCTTACAATCAAATCCAATATCAAAGAAACGTTTCTAATAGAATAATGTCCTAGAGGTAGGATAAAAGAAAACTTCAGAGCCGGGCGGTGGTGGCGCACGCCTTTAATCCCAGCACTCGGGAGGCAGAGGCCGGCGGATCTCTGTGAGTTCGAGGCCAGCCTGGGCTACCAAGTGAGTTCCAGGAAAGGCGCAAAGCTACACAGAGAAACCCTGTCTCGAAAAACCAAAAAAAAAAAAAAAAAAGAAAGAAAACTTCAATTTAGTTTCCAAGTGTGGAGTTATTAGGGGGTGAGGTTATTGATGTTCATGACCCAAATTTATCAGCACATGGATGAGTGGCTTTGGTTTGATGTAGTTTGGGCAAAGTTATAGTGAGCAGAAGATGAAAGGGCTGCAAATTGTGCTTAGTTCCATAAGCACATTTTGAGAAAAGATCTACAACTTGCTTGGTGCCTTAGATTGCCAGTGCTCCTTTTCTGTGACCTGAGAGTGATTTTATAAAGCCTTGTGGTCCTGCCAAGAAGAAGGAATTGTATGCCATCACCATTTGAAATAGAAAGTGCAAGAAGGAATCTCTCATCCCCCAGCTGTGCCAAACCTTGGTCGTCTTCGAATTTTCTACATCATGTCTTGTATTTAGCCAGGAACAAGTCTCATACAGCTCAGTAAAGTGCTGCTTTTCTAGTAGAGGTTTCACAGCCTTTTATCATCACCCCTAGTGTTTGGTACAGTCAGAAAGCATTTACAAACTTCTAACCCAGTAATGTTCCACTGCAGTTGAGATAGTCCTTACATCTTCAGCTGAAAACGAGCAAACAACCCCCCATGCCTTTTTTTGCCCATACACTATTACTTTGTAGACTTAAAGCTTTAAATCCTCCATAAGACGTTTTTTAATTAAATGACTGCAGCGGCCATTTTTTCCTCATATAGTTCCATTCTTTCCTTTACTTTTTTGTTGTGACTTTTTAAGACCTCCTCCACTTCTTGGGTCTTCTGGCTTTTGCAGCATTACTTCTCTCTCGTGTAGGTGGTCATGGTGCATGATTTGGGCCTTGGGTTTGCTCGGGGCTGTTTTTTCTTCTAATGAGAGTCTCTTGTCATGTATTCTACTTTCTTGTTTTTCCGTGTTGACTGCCACCTCTCCTCCTTTACTCTTCTGGATGATTGATCAAAAAATCATTCTTCAAAGAGTGATGCTTGTTTCACTCTTGGATGAGTGCCTGCTTGCTGCTGGAGACCCAGCTCTGGCTGGAGTTACCTCTCCACTTCCTGGTTGCCATGCCATCTCTCTGGCCTCCCTTTCTTTCACATGCACAATCGGGGTGGGAAGGTGGTGCTGGGAAACGGTGGGTGAGCAGCATGTCCTGAAGAAAGTGACTGTGTGCTGTTTTGCAGTGCTTCATTTGGTAAAAGTAGTGACCCCACAAGTCCCTACATTTCAGCCAATCGCAATTCATCTCCTGCTACCTCACCCATTACCATTGGTTCATCCACCTCTTGGGGCAGCCAGTGGCAGCCTGCCTCTTGCCCTGCACCAGTCAGTACAAACACTCCTGCGTCTGTCCAGCACGTCAGGTAAGGCTTTAGGCTGGAGCCGCTTGAGTGTGTCATCACAGTTACTGCTTCTGGAAACACATAGGAGGTCTGAAGCAAAGAGGCTTGTCAATGTAGAAGTAAGTTTAAACTCCTGTGACAGTACCCAGAATTTAACGAAGGTGCTTTTGTTTTGACTTTACTAGTCAGTCAGCAGTTGCTTATTGAATAACACTGAATCCATATCATTGTCTTGATGTTCAGGGGTCAAAGTGGCATGATTGCTTTCATTTCTCAACCACCTTCCCAATGTAATTACAGTTTTAAAATCAGATCCTGGATAATAAACTATATGTTAAAAATATTGCTGTATTTTACTGATTAATGTTCTAGAATCTCATATATTTAGTCTTTTGGAAGATGACATACAAACCCAGAAGAAATGCTAATCCATGTTCCAAAAACTTCCTGTAGCCTTCTGAGAATTATGCTAATTAGTATTCTTTTGGGAGCACAGTGAGACGGAGAGGTTTGTGTTTGCAGACACTATGTTCTGGGAGCATATCTTTTTGGTTTTCCATTCATCTAAAGGTTGCATGGTAGAGTGTCATTATGAAAGCACAACAGAACTTCAGTTCCTTTTTGGTTTGATTATTTTGAGACAGGGTCTCACAATGTAGGCCTGGATGACTTTGACTTCACTTTGTAAACCAGACTGGCCTTGAACTGAGAGATCTGCCTCCTAAGTGCTGCAATTAAAGACATGTACCACCACACCCAGTCGACACCCTCACATACATACTTAGTTGATACATATGTATCTATGCCTACTTGTCTCTAAGTGTATCAGATGTGTGCAGTGTCTGCTGACGCCAGGAAAGGGCATCAGGTCTCCTGGAACTGCATTTTCAGGTGGTTGTGAGCCACCTACAGTGGTGGCTGGAGCAGAACCTGGGTCCTCTGCATGAGCATCAGGTATCAAGTGCTCTCACCCAGAGCATTTCTCCAGCTATGAGCTGCACTTGGCACTACAGGTTTTTACCCTTTCCTGGGTGTTGGAGGCTGTTTTGGTTTTGCCACATGGCTTTTGAGGGTCTTGTTTTGGTAGAATGAAAGTTTAAAAAAATAGAAATGTTGGTGGTGTTGTTGCCAGAACACCTGTTATGGTGGTGCTTGGTTGATGTTTGCAAGTTTAATAGATCTCTTTCCCTGAAAAAAGTAGTCGCCATTAATTTGGTTAGAAAGAACTATTTTATAATGCATTATCATTAATACTGTTATAATTATGTAGAAATTTCAGGTTTATGACTCTAATGATAACACTGTATAGTTACATAGAAATTTACTAGATTCCCATAATAATACAGCTACATTGACATTCTGTATATTATCACTAAAGATGAAGAATCCAGACAGGAGGATGGGCATTTAACTTAGTGTTTAGCACTTGCTTAGCATGCCTAAGGTCCTGAGTTCAACCCTCAGCACTGAGGGAATCACAGAGCTGAAACTGGGGACTGTTTTGTTTTGTTTTTAAGATTTATTTTAATTATATATACAGTGTTCTGCTGGATATTTGCCTGCAGGCCAGAAGAGGGCACCAGATCTCATTATAGATGGTTGTGAGCCACCATGTGGTTGCTGGGAATTGAATTCAGGACCTCTGGAAGAGCAGCCAATGTAACCTCTGAGCCATCTGTCCAGCCCTCGGGGACTGTTATTGAACCTATTTTGTGACAGGCACTGGAAAAGGGATTTGTAGGCTGGGATTTGGTTTATTCACATGCAGCAGTAAATCCCTGTAATACTGCTTTAAGTATGAGAAGGTTTCTTTTCTTATAAGTAAGAAAGACAAGAAACAAGGCAGCACAGTAGCTTCAAAGTCATTGAAAGATCCAGTTCTTTTCTTTACATCACGGATTCTATGTCCAAGGCTTGCCTTACAGTCCAGAATAACTGCTGGAGTTCTGGCCATGGGGGCTGTATTCTGCATATGAAGTAATAGCCAAGAGGGAAGCAGACAAAGAAAGCCTCTAAATTCATACTTTTCAGAAATACTAGATCTATGCTTATGTCTCTTGGGAAATTTCCAGCATCTGACAGACCTTGGAAGATGTCAGTTTTGGGTGGGTACATTGTTGTCCCAAGAAGTACGGAGCACACAGAGCTGAAGAGATGGTTCCTTGGGTAAAGGAACTTACATTCAAGCCTGATGACCTAAATTCCATCCCTGGATCTCACATAGTCAAAGCAAAGAACTGACCCCTGCAAATCATCTTCTGACCTTTGTGAACACATCTACATGCATACAAACCCCACACCCCACAAATCAATAAATGTAAAAAAAATAGAATCTTAAAAGATGAAAAGATAATATAAAAAATATGTAGGGCACCTGTTAGGAAGGTCAGGGACAATGAGTCAGGTAATCCTGCCTTGGGCACTCATATGTTATTTATAGTTTCACAAGCAGCTCCCTGGTATATTAAGCGTTGTATGTATTTTTAGATGAGGAAAGCAAACAAAGGCTTAATCATCTGCCCAAGATCACAAAGCCATTGAGGAACTAAAGCAGGTTTTATGTCCAGATTAGTTTATGGAAAACCTACCTATTTTGTCATGGTTTGTTTACACCGAGTTTACATTTTATTCTGGGTACTATTCAGGTATTGTACAGACATTATTTTGTTTCATCATCATGAGAATTCTGCATAATGCAGCAGCATTTTCCCTGTGTTATGGATGAAGGATCAGATCTTTAAGCTGGCTGATTATTAGCACAGTGTGGTTCCATTGTGTAGTTTCTTACCCTGCTGTAGAGCTTTCCTGGCTACCCTTGAACAGTCTGCTTATGAAGTTATAACATGTTTCCAAATAATAGTAGAGTTTTATTAGGCTATAAAATAAAATCAAATCTCTGGCATTTCAACAGCCTAAGAAATTGCAAGGCAGGCAAGATGGCTCAGCAGGTAAAGGTACTTGGGACACAGGCTTGGCAACCTGAGTTTGAGCCCCAGAGCCCGTGTAAAGGAGGAAGGAGAGAGTTAGTGCCACAGAGTTGACCTCTGACCTCCTCCCATATACACTGAGCACATACACACCTATAAATAAAGCTTAAAAAAGAAATTGCAGAGAAGCCAAAATACGTTATTAACCCCAAAAGAAACTTCAGTAAGCTTTTGTTAAATATACAATTTTACTTAAGGCTTTTTGTTTCTGTTTTTTGTTTGTTTTTTGTTGAGGAGGTAGAGTCTGTTTTCCAGACAGGTCTCAAATCTTGGGTTCATGGAATTTTCCTGCTCGAACCTCCTAGTAGTTGAGAGTTACAGGTACACACACTGTTCCCAGGTTGGCACCATATTCCTTATGACTGTGCTTCTGGTTAATTTTATTAGTACTTCCTGTATACTAATAAATCTGAGAAATTAACTTTCAACTTTTCAGATGAGAAAATGAATATGCATTATCACCTTATTCTGAGATAGTAATTGCTTCTGGAGAAGTAGCTTATTTTTTAGATATAGTTTCTGTCTTCAAAAGTGTTATATTTTTATGTGTTTCTTAATGCCATGTTTAGACTTTATGATTGATTATCTCTTTTACACTTATCCTAACAATATATTTGGAAGTGAGTTTATAGCTACTTGTAAACGTTTCTGATAATTGTGAGTAGGTGAAAAACAGATCTTTAACATTCATGCTTTTCATTGCTTTTCCCATCTCTGCAAGTATCAATTTTGGATCTCTGTTACCCCAGCAACAAGCTGTGACATCACAAATGATAGCTTTTTGGGTGGAGAGCCAGTGTTGCTCCTGACTCTTTGTTAAGAAACAAAGATCTTATTTTCACATAAATGACTTTAATTACACAGCTTGCTGTTGAAGTCTGTAGTTAGGGTTACATATAGAATCCTGCTCGATTTCTTCTGCAGTTTCTTTCTTAGGCAGCTGTGAGTGTAGAGAATTAGGCACTTGGCTAAATGGACAAAGACTGCAGTTGCTGGGCTAGGTGAGAGAGAACCAAATAGACTGAGGTTGTAGAATAATTTTCAAATGGATAATTGAAGAAGACGATCATCAGATCTAGGCTGAGGACTGCCACAAAGAGTTCCCCTGCCAAGAACTGAGGGACAGGTGGAGACTAAGATCGTAAGTGATGATAGTGTCTCTCTCACCTGTAGTGAGAGCCCATCTCTGTGCATGTGTGGAGGGAGGTCAGGTGGCAATGAGTCATTTAGGACACCTGCATATGTCACTCTCTTGCCTTGTGCCACAGCTGATTTTTGTTTGTTTGTTTTTTAATCTCATGCAAAAAAAAATCTTATAAAATGTAAGTCCTGAGCAGAAGGTGTCAGACTAAATGTATAATCATACTGTTCCAATATCTAAGAGCTCAGAATTAACAAACCAACAAACAAAATCCGAGCAAGGAGGTTCTCATTAGATCTGTGCCTCTCCTTTCTCTGTGCCAGTGTTTTATTGTCTGCCGTGTGTGCCTGACCACCTCCTTTTGCTCCTGTCTTTGTTAATTTCAGGACTCCTTACAGATCCCAGGCTGACTCGGCAGCAGAGAAAGCAGCAGACGATGTCTCTTCGAGTACTCCCCTGTGTGTGATCACCAATCGCCCTGCACCCAGCACTGCCAATGGGGTTCCAGCTGCCACACTGTTCCCCTCCACTGCAACAGACTCCTCTGTGGAAGCCCGGGAGAAGAGGAGGTATGAGGCTCCTGATGCATGTGCAGGGCTCTGCTTTGACAGAAGAGACAGAGAAGTGGCTATGAAGTCCTTGACCCAAGCTCAAATAGATCTGAATTTTACTGTTCGGGGTATGTCTTACCTTGGAAGGTTTTTTCATGGTGGAGGTCTTATTTCTGACTATTTAGCATTATGTTCTGTATATAGTCAGACCTTTTTTCTATTCATCTTGTGATAATTGACAGGCATATTTTTTGCCTTTTGTGATATGGAGCTTGAAGCACAGAAAAAGATCCTTCATTTTGTTCTGAATTTTCGTGATCATTCTGTGCAGTTAAGTAATACTGTAAAGGAAAAAAAAAAAACAAAAAAAAAAACCTCAAAGGAGCAGAGCTGGGTGTATAGTTTTATGCATGTGAAGATAATACCCGGGAAGGAAATGAACGTTTATGGTGATGCGGGATTGAGGCCCGCTTGTCTGCAGCTGTTGAGATGTGCTGTGCCCCTCAGGCGAGCTTCTATCTTTTGATCCGCTTGCCTTAGCCTGCCTGAGACTAGGAGTGCAGGTGGTTCCTCCCGTGCTCTGCTCCACTGCAGTGTGTTTAGAGGGAGATTCTGAGAGAGCAGATGTGGATCAACAGGAGACGGAGTCGAGGAAGAGGAGCACTCTTTGGTGGTTAGGATTAAGAGATTGTGGCCAGTGTGACAAAAGGAAGGACTGCGGAGTGTTCTCTCCCACTTGAGGTCTCTAAGATCCAGTGTACGTGGAAGACTGAGGCTGTGGCATCACTTTCTAAGACTAGAGAAAGAGACAAACCTTTATCAAGGTTTGGATTCTTAGTTTGATTTATTTTCAGTATCCAAAAAGATATTTTTCTCTTTCTCAGTGTGTATGTGAGAAGGCAGGAAATGCTATCTAAAAGACACAGTATCAAACTTTTTAGTTATTTCTTTATTGTAACAACAACCTAAAGTACACATTGTGAGAAAGGAGGGGAGAAGTCAAGTGTATTGAAAAATATTATTTTCCTGGGTTTTTCTCTCTATAAAATTGTAAGAAAATCAATTTTCTGGACTAACAGGTTTCTGAGCCAATAGTTGTCCTCTTTTGTTTTTAAAAGAGACATTTTTATTTGTGTATATGTGGTATAGGTGCATTGTGTGTGTGTGTCTGTGTGTGTGTGCTTGCAAGTGTGTATGTGCATGCATGCCATGTGTGTTGCTGGTGCTTTTGGAGGCCAGAAGAAGGTGTCAGGTATCCTGGAGCTGGAGTTACAAGAGGTTATGAGCCTCCTGATGTGGGTGCTAGGACCCAAATTTAGGTCCTCTGGAGGAGCAACAACTGTTCTTAAGAGCTGAGTCCTTTCCCTGGCCCCCCAGTTGTCCTCTTCTAATTGACTTCCAGCCAAGTAAACAATAAGTCAGTCTTGAATGTGTAATGCTTGTGTATTTACTAGTGCACAGAGAAGTACCATTAGTTTCATCTGAGAAACTACATTTAAGAGCAATCTTTTCATTAGCAAAAAAAAAAAATCACTCTTTAGAAATGTTTCTTAGTGCAGGAGAGATGACTTAGTGGATAAAGTCTTTTGTGCCAGTGTGAGGATGTGAGCAGCAGGCATGGCGTCTCACATTCTGTGACCTCCACTTGGAGGAGACAGACAGAGGCAGTTTTGGAGCTTCCCTGGCAGGCAACATAGCCGATCCGTGACCTCCTGGATCAGAGTGGAGAAGCAGTTAAGGAAGACACCGTCTCCCCCCCCACACACACAGATACGTGTAAGCATGTACATACTCACACAAATACATACACCCACATCTTCCACACAGTGTTTCTTAGCTGAGAGAAGTAAAACAAGTTCAATTTATTAAGATTATGATCCTTGGAAAGATGGAGAAATCCTGTTTGTCTTCAGTCTGGATTGAATTTCTGCATCAATCAGAGAATCGGAGAGAGCCACTGCCTCTGGCTATCGTAACCTGCAGTGCGAAGACAGCATGGCTGCAGGTTTTGATTGGGCTTCAGTTTGGTCCGTCCACAGGTAGCCACTGAACACCGCTGCGGAATAAATAGGAAGACCAGGCTACATTTCCTGGAGAAGCAGCAACTATAAAAGCAAAGGACTAGCTGGGCATGAGTGGCACACGCCTTTCATCTCAGCACTCAGGAGGCAAAGGCAGGCAGAGCTCTGTGAGTTCCATACCAGCCAGGGACACACGGCGAGGCCCTGTCTACCTAAAACAAACAGACAGCGAACCAAACGAAAGAATTAAAAGGACTAAGCTGTGGTGTTAGTGAACTGTTGTACACTGTATCAAGATGCACGAAGAATGCGTTTTAGTGCCTTTAAGAATGGCATGCAGTGGCGCTGCAGAGGTGGCTCAGCACTTGTTGCTGTCGTAGAGGATGCAGGTTCTATTGTCAGCATGCACATGGTGACTTACAACATCCCAACTCCAGTGCAGGGGATCGGTGGCCATCTTCTGACTTCCACAGGCACCACGCATACGTGTTGCACACATACATACATTCAGGCAAATATTCACACACAAAGGATGACACTAGATAAAGAGCTGTTAGTCACGTGTTTGGTTCTGACTGTCACTGTTTTCAAAATCTTCATTGCTGTGGTTACCAGGAATCGCATGAAGCCCAAGTAGTACATGGGTGACCTAGACAAATACGATATGAGCCTACAGGAAACATATGCGCTGGTAAAAATAATTACATCTGTGATATCTACAATGGAGCGTCGTTCATCTGAAAATAGAAAGTGTTTCAAATTTCACACATATTCAAAACTGGTTTGGTTTTGTTTCTTGGAGACCAAGTCCTCCTGGCAGGTCTGGTACTTAATATATAGCCCAGGCTTGCATTGAACTAATGGCAGTCCTCCTGCCTCAGCCTCCTTCATTCTAGGATTACATATGCCACCATATCTGACTTCACATACAAAATTACTAAAAAAAAAAAAAATTGCATCAGATAATCTTCATGTTTTGTGTGTCGGGTGGATATGTCAGGTTTTGGACACTGTGACAAACATCTGAGAGAAATTATTTAACAGGAGGAAGGTTTATTTTTGCTCATGGCTTTAGAGATTACACTTCATGGTCAGCTGGTTTATTGTTTCTGGGCCTGTGGTGAGGCAGAACATCACTGTGGAAGTGTGTATGAGCAAAGCTGCTCATGTCTGGCAATCAAGAAGGCAAAGAACAAGAGAGGAAGTGGACTGGAACAAGGCAGCTCCTGGGAGCAGCCCTCCAGTGACCAACCCTGCCAATGAAGCTGTACCTGTGAATGTTGTAACTCTGCCGATCCATGAGCTATCATAATCTGGTCACTGCTCAGTTGTTGGGCCTACTAGCTGGAGACCAAGTCTTCAATACATGAACAGGTTGTGGGAGACACATCATATGAAGCATAAAATGAATCTTTTGTGTAGATATGAATTTCTTATCCCAAATAGCTCATTATGTTTATGAAAATATCTCAAAATCTGATGTGCTTCTGGTCCCCAGAAGTTTAATTAAGAGATGCTTAACCTGTACCATAAAGAAGTAGTGTGAGTTATGAACAGTGTGTTACAGAAAATGAACACTTCTCCTGGGGGACCCAGATGGCTTTCATGAGGGTGTGATGCTTAGACAGAGGTCTGTAGGATGAGTCACAGCTAGGGGAAGAACTTTTTTTTTTTTTTTTTTTTTTTTTTTTTTGGTTTTTCGAGACAGGGTTTCTCTGTGTAGCTTTGCGCCTTTTCCTGGAACTCATGTGGTAGCCCAGGCTGGCCTCGAACTCACAGAGATCCGCCTGGCTCTGCCTCCCGAGTGCTGGGATTAAAGGCGTGCGCCACCACCGCCCGGCCGGGGAAGAACTTTTTAAAAAAAAGATTTATTTTATATGTATGAGTGTTTTGCCTGCATATGGGCACCACATGTGTGCCTGGTGCCCAGGGAAGACAGAAGAGGGTGTTGGATACCCTAGAACTGGAGGTATGGAATGTGGTGAACCACCATGGGGGTACTGGGAATTGAACCTGGATCCTCTACAAGAGCAACGTGTGCTCTTAATCCCTTATCTCCAGTCCCTAGGGGACAAACTTTCTAAACAAGTTATGGCAGTTGAAAAGACAGTGTTAAGTGGAGTCGGATTCTTTGGAGAAACTGCAGGAAGGTTTTTATATCTAAGTGAAACATTGGGGGAAGAGTGGTTTTAGATGAGGCTCGCGGAGAGGATGGGAAGTAGCTTCATCATGTTAGCGTCTTCCAGCCAGTGATGAGGATTTGGGATTTCTAGGCTATGAATTATGATGAACCAGTAGAAGAATTTTCCCAACAGCTCTATAGAGACATAATACATATACCATATAACCCACGCGTTTAAAGCGGCAAGACATTGGCTGTTTATTTTATTTTTAGGCTTCTTTATTTTATTTATGTGTGTGTTTAACCTGCATGTTTGCAAATGTGTGCACCACGTGCATGCCTGGTGCCTGTAGAGATCACACGAAGGCATTAGATCCTTGGAACTGGGGTTACAGATGGTTGTGAGCCACCACGTGGGTTCTGAGAACTGGACCTGGGCACTCTGTACGAGCAGCAAATGCTCTTACCACCAAGCTATGTCTCCATCCAAAGACAGTGGTTGTAGAGTGTGGGACAATAGGTGTGACTGTTGGCACAAGGAATTTTGAACATTCTTGTTACCTGTAGGAGAACTCTTATACCTATTTCCCTCATCTCTCTATATCCCCCCTCTCCGCAACCTAAGCTACCACTGATATATTCCTAATTTCCTTATTTTCCACCTTTCATATAAATGGAAAAATGATGAGGGTTTTATGACTGGCCTCTTTCCAGTATACTTTCAATATGAATTTACTTTGAGGAAGGTATGAGGACTTTATTCCTTTTTGTAGTCCACCATTGGATATTGTTTGTCTATTCATAAGTTGATGATTGTTTCTATCTGTTGGCTATTATGAATAATGTTACTATAAACATTTGTGTGTACATTTTTA